TTCTTAGAAGTTTAGCCTTAAAGATGTTTATAAATCTTTCAATAAACTGATTTTCTGCCTAATCACCAAAAGCTGCTAGCTTTTGGTGCTTGCAGCTAAGAACTTCTGATACATGCTTTCTGGAAATACAGGCTGCTTTGAAAACTTGATGAAACCCCCAAATTTACCATAATTTATTATTCTTAGTTCTCTGGAATTTGTCATCTTTTAGAATTCTGCCCTTCTGGCATCACTAATTTGAGTGTTCCATCCTTTCATTTTAATCTCTGTCCTAGTTCTCACTGCAGATGAATTTTAGCACAATAGTTAGGACTGGATTGCAGGATTTGAATTTTAGCCATGCCATTTTTAGCTGTTGTTTCTTAGGCAAGTTACTTAACTATTCTGTTTCCTCATATTAAAAAGGAGGGAAATAATAGTGCCTAACTTCTGTGATTATGATAAGACATTGATAGATGTAAAGTGCTTAGAAGAGTGCCTGACACAGAATAAGCACCTAAGGTGTGCCATCATTGTTATGACTAACTGCTATCTATTTTGCCTGTTCTTTATTTTCACTCAGATCTGAGTATATCACCTCTCTACTTGTCTTTCACTGCCCTGTATGTCCCTTACCCCTTTTCAGGTGAGGTCTTTAGAAAAGCCTTTAATGCTACATAAGCCACCCTAGTCACTTAGACTGTCCCTATCGGCGCTGGGGAGAAGACTCCTGGAGCTTCATTGGCACTTCTTTTGTGTGTGTGGAAGCAGGTGCAGGAGGGATACAGTCATAGCATCTCCATTAGAAATTTAAATTAACTCTCCCATAAAAGATTTTATTGTAAGTATTTGTTAAGTGCTGACAGTATGCATTTTTCTATGGGGAAACCTGTTCCAGGTACCATATAACTAACATGAGTACGTTTACATCACTTACTAGGGAATTGTGTAAATTGCCTGTGCAGATAGATTGACTTTGTGGTTGTCTTTGAACTGCAACATTTTGATAAAATTCATCAGATGTTTCAATCATGAAACACTCTAGAGACTTTCCTTGTGCCCATTTGCAATCATTCCCCTCTCTTTAGCCCCTGGAACTACTGATGTGCTTTGTCCCCATAGTTTTTCCTTTTACAGGATGTCATATAGAATTATCCATTAAGTCTTCAGGCCTGGCTTCTTTAACTCAGCGTAAGGGTTTTTTAGATTCTTTTATGTGATTAAAATAAGATGCTAAAGAAGCTTTAAACTCATGTAATAAAATGGAAATTGAGGGCAGAGCAATCAGACTGGAGTTGCAAGGACCCAGGGGATCACCTAATGCAAGAGGCCAGCCGTCCAAAACTCTGTTTGTCAAAGGTCTGTCTGAAGAAACTACCGAAGAGACCTTAAAGGATTCATTTGAGGGCTCTATTCGTGCAAGAATAGTCACTGACCGGCAAACAGGGTCCTCCAAAGGGTTTGGTTTTGTAGACTTCCACAGTGAGGAAGATGCCAAAGCTGCCAAGGAGGCCATGGAAGATGGTAAAATTGATGGAAACAAAGTTACCTTGGACTGGGCCAAGCCTAAGGGTGAAGGTGGCTTCGGGGGACGAGGTGGAGGCAGAGGAGGCTTTGGAGGCAGAGGCAGAGGAGGCAGAGGTGGATTTGGTGGCAGAGGCCGGGGAGGTTTTGGAGGCCGAGGAGGTTTCCGAGGAGGCAGAGGAGGAGGAGGAGGAGGAGACTTCAAGCCACAAGGAAAGAAGACGAAGTTTGAATAGTTTCTTCTGTTTCTGTCTTTCCCTTTTACATTTGAAAGAAAGGACTCTGAGGTTTTTACTCTGTTACCTGTTCAATGACAGAGCCTTCTGAGGACATTCCAAGACAGTATACAGTCCTGTGGTCTACTTGGAATCCAGATAGATAACATTTCAAGAGATACCCTGTTGGTTTTGACTGGATATTCATATAAACTTTTTAAAGAGATGAGTGATAGAGCTAACCCTTATCTGTAAGTTGAATTTATATTGTTCCATCCCATGTACAAAACCATTTTTTTCCTACAAAAAAAAAAATAGGATTTCATGAATCACAGGGTTTGTTGCTATAGAAAGGGATTTTCCCTCCTGTATTTACATTGCTTAAAGAGGGAGACAGTAACAAGAACAAGTTTCAGGGGAACACACTCAATAGATAAGGTACATAAACTACTTAGTGAATGACTTCTGATTTTCCAGTTATTGACGTCTAGTTGCTCATTTAGGATGGAAGAAGGCTTCTGTGGATGTAAAGGATAATTTAGTTTTAGGTATACTTTTTTATAAAAGGTTCTTGAGAGAGACAGTTTGACCAGCACGGTGGAGATCCAGATGCAATCATGTGTTGCCTGGAGAAAGAATTCAGAGAAAGGACAAAAGTCTGGCAGAGAGTAGCTCTGCTGCAACTTGAACACTTGGTCTTTGGAAAAGCAACTGAGAAGAGCCTACCACAGCCTAAACTCTGTCAAAACCTGAGGTTTCTATGTGTTTTGGAGTTCAGTAGTTGACCATGTATACTCAGCTTCTGACTGCTGTGCTGATCAAACTGTCCAAATACAATTATACAGTAAATGTGTGGCTTTTAGATCTGGCTTCTTTCACTCGGCATGATGATTTTGAGATTGTTTTATGTGGTTAAAATAAAGAAATGTTCCAAGTATAATTTTAATAATCACCAAATTGGGACTTGTTTACTTCATGGTTAACAAACCTTGTGTGATGTTCCCTGTGAGATTTGTTCTCAGTATTCATCTCCTGCTTTAAACATTGTAAGCAAAGACAAAACCTCTTTGTATGGCAGTAAACTATGTCATTCATGAACTCAGCAGATGATCAGTGACAATCTCCTCACTTTACATGAGTTACATTAAATGACCTCTGATAATAAGGTGTGGTATAATGTTCTCATGGAGAGGGGAATTTCATTTGATGTTTTTATCACAGCAAACATGCTTTTCATGTAGCAAACTGTGTTTGGAATCATTTCAGAGATGCCTGATGGATCCACCCTTGCTGCATGAATCAGTAATTGGTTCCTTTTTATTGCTGAGTAGTAGTAGTAGTTTATTTTATGATATGTCACAACTTATTCATTCACCAGTTGATGGGCATTTGGGTTGTTTTCAGTTTGTGGCTATTGTGAATGAAGTTACTGTGAACATTTGCATACAGATCTTTGTGTGGACATTTTTTCATTTCACTTGGTAACTACTAGGATTATTGAGTGTTTGGTAAGTGCATATTTATCTGTTAAAAAGGGTGCGTGTTCTCCAAAGAACTATAGAATTTTGCATTCCCATCAGCAATATTTGAGAATTATGGTTGCTTCCATATCTTCATTAGCTCTTGGTACTGTCTGTCTTCTTTTGAATTTTAATTTTTTGCCATTATAGTGAGTGTGTAGTGGTATCTTACTGTAGTTTTTAATTTTCATTTTCCTGGCAATTAGCATTATTGAGCACCTGATCATGTTTACATTTGCCATCTATATTTCCTCCTTCATGAAATTTCTCTTCAGATCTTGCCCACTTAAAAAATTGGGTTATTGGCTAGGCGCCAGTGGCTCACGCCTGTAATCCTACCTACTCTGGAAGCAGAGATTGGAGGCTCTCTGTTCGAGGCTAGCCTGAGCAAATAGTTGTTTAAACCCAATCTCGAAAATACCCAACATAAAAAAGGGCTGGTGGAGTGGTTCAAGTGATAGAGAGCCTGCCTATTAAGTGTGAGGCCCTGAGTTCAAACCTCAGAACTGCCAAAAAAAAAAAAAATGGGTTGTCTTATGATTGAATTATAACACTATAAATGAATAACTAAAGTCCTTTATCAGGTGCATGTTTTTTAAATGTTTTCTTCCTGTATGTACCTGTCTTTGCATTTTCTTAAAAGTATCTTTGGAAAAGCAGAAGTTTTTAATTTTGGTAGAGTACAGCTTTTCACTTTTTCATTTTATAGGGTCATGCTTTTTGTGTTTTATCTAAGAATTCTGTGCCTAACCCAAGTTCATAATGATTTCTCCAATAATTTGTTTACACTGTTTATCATTTAGGCTGTAGATTCAATTAGAGTCAATATTTGTACATAGTGCAAAACTAAGGGCTGAGGTGGTTCTTATCTATTGTTTGGTAGTACTGGGTTTGAACTTAGGGCTTTTCACATGCTAGACCTGCACTCTACCACTTGGGCCACTCCTCTGGCCCCTTTTGCTTTTAGCTATTTTTCAGGTAGGATCTCACTTAGCCTCCTGTGTGGCTAGAATCACAGGCACATGCCACCATGCCCAGTTTGCTGGTTGCAATGGGGTCTCACTAACTTTTTGCCTGGTCATCCTTTCTAGTCTCTGCCTCCCAACTAGCTGGGATTACAGGTGTGAACCACCATACCTGGACGGTCCTTTTATTTTTTTTTTTTCCTACAGATGTCTAGTTTTTCTGAACCACATGTTGAAGTGATTCTCCTTTCCACATTGAATTTTGTTGGCACCTTTGTTAGATCATTGATCCAATTTCTTCCTTCTTTCCTAATATAAGTGTTTGGTGTTATAAATGTTCCTTGAAGCAGAGCTTTATCTGTATCCCACAAATTGTACTTTCATTTTCATTCAGTCCAAAATACTTCTCTGATTTTCCTTCTGATTTCTTCTTTCACCTATGAAAGTTATTTATCAGTACATTACTTAATTACCAAATATTTGGGAGATTTCTAGGTATTTTTTTTTGCTTATTTCTGCTTAATTCCATTGTGGTCAGAGAACATAAATTGTCTGATTTCAGTCCTTCTAAATTTATTGATACTTTATGTCTGAATATTCTTAATCCACTTTCGGCTGAAGAATGTCAGTTTAACAAATTACTAGTTTACATACCATTTTCATTTTTAAATGAGAAGTTACAGTTGTACTTTACCTAATTGTGGAGAATGAATGTTACTTTACTGTATAAGTTAGTATTTCCTATTTTTGCCTTGCAGTTGCAAATTTGTAAGTTCTCTCTTCTCTGCTTTCCATAGGTCTAAGATCTGGCAAACTTGGTGAGCAGTGTGAAGCAGTTGTTCGCTTTCCCAGGCTTTTTCAGAAGTATCCATTCCCTATTCTCATCAACTCTGCATTCCTGAAGTTAGCTGATGTTTTCAGAGTTGGGTAAGTCTTTTTAAAGCCTCACTGTCCTAAGTACCTGTTATTTATCCTTTTGTTTATATTGTGATCTTTTTCTTCTACTTGGTTACCATTTTAGTGAAAGCATATTTCATCATGCTACACTTTGATGTGAGATTTAAAGACATTTTTAGAAAAAGTGTATGATTCAGAGAGTCACTATCTTTGGGGAATAGAATTAATCAAATTGGAACAACCTTATATATACATGTACCAAGTTAGACTTAAAGAAGAAAAGAGGTGGTGGGATTAGCAGATTGAGGAGGAAAGCCATCTGCCCTCCTGGCCTTGGTTATAATGTGATCAAGGAGATTTAGTGGGGCTTCTTCTTGTGTCACTGCCATTTAAGTGTCTTGCAGCAGGACTGTGAAATTGCTTATTCTTAGTACAGACGTTAGTAACTCTTTTAGTAGTAAGACAAATAATAACAAAGCAACATTTGCCTGTTGCTAAAATTTAATGTCATTAGCATTGCTTTAACCCCCAAATTAAATATTACTTTCCTGAAGTGGCCTAATTTGTTTTATCCTTTGTTTTTCTAGAAACAATTTCCTGAGACTGTGTGTTCTTAAAGTTACCCAACAAAGTGAGAAGCATTTGGAGAAGATTCTAAATGTGGATGAATTTGTGAAGAGGATTTTCTCTGTGATTCATAGTAATGATCCTGTGGCAAGAGCCATCACACTCCGGTACACCCTGTTACTTTCATCCTTCACCACAAGATTGTTTAAACTGTGATTTATGTACCAAAAAGGCAGTTCATTTAGTTTTTTTCATTTTAAGTATTAAGGATTTGGTTTTGTTTTTGAACTAAGACTGTAAAAATATGTTAACCATTCCAATCTGTAAGTTCTAGTTAATGTGGATACAGTTTTGGTTGTAAATTGTTGTCTGACTTGTGTTTGAAACATCTTCCATGTAGTTGGGAGTTCTGACCTAACAACCTGGAAGGTTTTGGTACAGCTTAGTCTCAGCTTCTTTTGAACTTTTGACTTCTGGACTGTGTTCTTCATGTCTTCTTTTGGTTTCCTATGTTCACTGTTTGTTGCCTGCTCGTTTTGATATGTGATAATTTATCTTTGAGCTTATTGGAGAACAGCATGCATGCTCAGTCTAGTTTCTTTATCCTTTTTTTTAGTTTGTACTTTAAACAATTTTGTTCAGATTTCTTTTTTTAATCTTCTGCTTATACCATATTCTCTTTTTAGCTGCACTGTTTATGGAACCATATGTATAATTTTGGGGGGGATTTTTAAAAATTCTTTTTCTTAAATGAAAGACTTCATTTCTGTCTTGCCCTGCCCAGACAGCCCTTTGTAAGTAGGGGTCTAGGATGTCAGTTCTTCCCTTAGTTTTCTTTTTTCCTCAGCAAGCATCAGTTTTCCTTCTTGTTCAGAATTAAGTGCTCTTGTCATCCTTCTGCCTTTGACTGATTAAATTAAACATCATGATATTTTAAAGTCAGTTATTGGTTTTTATCTTTTAAAAACTGTATCTAGCCTAGCCTGAGTGAGTCACTGTATCAGGCCAGGAACTGTGGCTCATAGCTATAATCCCAGCTACTTGGGAGGCAGAGATCAAGAGGATTGCAGTTTAAGGCCAGCCCAGGTAAAACGTTTACAGTACCCCATCTCAACAAATGAGCCAGGTATGGTATATTTGTAATTCCATCTTTGTAGGAAGCATAGGTAAGAGGATTGCAGTCAAAGGCTGGCCCCTGGCAAAAAAGTGAGACTCTGTCTGAAAAATAATCTAAAACAAAACAGGACTGAAAGTGTGTCTCAAGTGAGAGAACACCTGCCTAGCAAGTGTCGTGGGGCCTTGAGTTCAAACCCCAGTACTGCCAAGAAAAATTCAATGAAATACACAGCACTGGTGGCTTATGCCTGTAATCCTATCTACTTGAGATCAGGAGGATTGCAGCCGTCCCAGGCAAATAGTTCCTGAGACCCCATCTCCAAATAACCAGAGCAAAATGAACTGGTGGTGTGGCTCGAGCATCAGAGTGCCTCCTTTGCAAGCACAAAGTTTGAGTTCAAACCCCAGACCCACCCAAAAAAAAAAATTGTTTTTCACTGGATCATAGGTCATGTATATTAGTTTTATAAAATCGATTGAACCTTTTCTAGTGTTTGTGACATTTTACATTGACAGCAATGATATGTGAGAATTCTGCTTGCTTGATACCTTTGCAGACTTTTGGTGTTATTAGGTTTTTAAGTTTTAGCCTTTCTAATGGGTGTGTGGTGGTTTTGATTTGCATTTCCCTAATGATAATGATCTTAAGCACTTTCTCCTAATATCTTTTGAAAAATGTTCATACCTTTAGCCCATTTTTTTATTAGATTGTTTAGATTTTATTATTTTGCTTATCATTTTATTACAAAGTTATAAGAGTTTTTTATATATCCTGGATATGGGTCCTTTCCGAGATACATGTTTTATAATATCACATTCAAAGTAAAGAGATGTCTTTTGGGACCTGAAAACTAGGAACAGAGTATCTTCCATTTTCATGTTGTTTCTTAAGTTTGATTTCAGCCTTATTGTTCTTATGTCTTTGTCCTGCACTGTCAGTTACATGATATGTGCTTCAGAATGGAAACTTTCACACCCCAAGTGTTGGCAGTGGGAAACCAAGTAACTGCGCATGCGTGTGCTCACAGCAGCTATCTGCTGTGTGTGGTCTTTCTACTTGAACTGTATGTGCCTCAAAATGTTCTGCTTTTGAAAAGGAAGAAATAAAGTCATTACTTTTATAATTCTAAAAAGATCATGTCCATTTTTTGAATCTCTAATTAGGGAGCAATGTTCTAGTTAGCTAACGAGAAGTTTGTTCCAGTCCCAACTCACATTCTTATGAAATGACCTCACTTTCCTCGATGTAAAATGAGAAAAGTAGTTATTTATTTCCTGTATGATGTTTAAAAGTCATCATAGAAATGAAAAGAATGTGTCTTTAGAAGAGTTTGAGCATATTAATCAGCTATATTTCCACTCCTATTGTGAAATGTTTTCACTGCTGTGCCTTATGAAGAAAATATGGTGCAGAATGGACCTTTGATACTTAATATGAAACAATGTGATTTACTCATTGAGAGGTATTTCAGTAGCACTAGTAAGGAAGATGTGTCACGGATGAAACTGAGCTCTGCAAAGGACAGAAGCTGATGCATGATAGATCAACTCTGATACTCTTTTAATACCTATTGTGTAGAAGATTTTGAAGAAGGTTATTGTAGGAACACTGTAGGTTTTGTTTATTTCAGTGTTTTGCAGCTTTCTAAAATGCATGCCTTTCTGCTGAAGGGACTTTTCAAGTGTTACTTTCTGTAGTTTATATTATGAACCACAGATTTTTTTTCTTTTCTAAGCTTATAATTTTATTATAAAGTGTATTGTGTTTCCAGACTTTATCTTCCTCACTGTTGCAGATACGGGTGTGAGTCCCAAGGGGTGTCTTCCACCTCTATTCTTGATGTTGAGAACAGATTTGAAAAGCAACATATCAGCATTTATTTACTTTGGCAGTACAGGAGTTTGAACTCAGGGCCTAACACTTGTGAGGCAGGCGCTCTACCACTTGAGCCATGCATACAGCTTTTAGTATTTATTGATATGGAGGAAGAGATTGCGAAGTCTTACGGTTTTTCTTTGTGAATTAAGAACTAAGCATTAAGAAGCATTGCATTCTTAATACTTTGCTGAAATGGACTTCATGTGATATTAGAAAATTGGTATTTTGATGCTTTAATAACTCTAAAGTTTCTTGGTCCAGGTGTATGGTACGCACCTGTAATCCCAGCTATGCAGGAGGCTGAGGCGGGAGGATTGCACAGTTCAAGACCGCCGGGGGAAAAAGTTAGCGAGACCCAATCTCAGAAACAATTTGGTGTAGTGGTACAGGCCTGTGGTCCCCACTGCATGGGAGGCAGAGATAGGAGGATTGCCAACTGAGGCTGGCTGCAGCAGAAAGCATGAGACTATCTGAAAATTAGTGCAGAAAGGGTGGTGAGTGTGGCTCAAGTGGTAGAGTGCTTACTTAACAAACACAGGCACTGAGTTCAAACCCCATTAATGCCAAAAAAAAATCCAAAAGCTTTTTCTTCTGGAACCTATTTGTTACCTGGGATGTACTTCAAGATGATTATTTTTTAGAAATTTAGTTCGTGTTAGATAAGCCATTTTAGTATTTCTGCTATGTTTAAGTATGTAGAAGTGTTTAGACTGAGTAACTATTCCTAAAGTTCAGCTTTATTAACTTGGGGTTAATGAAATAACCTATAAACTTTAGTTTTGGTAATCTAGCTTGCCTTGTGACCGTCTCTCCTGACCGTGAGTTTATTGTGTTTCTGTTCTTGGGCCCCCTGTTTCTGTAGGATGTTGGGAAGCCTGGCATCAATAATTCCTGAGAGGAAGAATGCGCATCATAGTATTCGTCAGAGTTTGGACTCACACGATAATGTAGAAGTGGAAGCTGCTGTTTTTGCTGCTGCAAACTTCTCAGCACAGTCAAAGTAAGCAAAATAATGTGGCTTGCCAAGCCCAGTGTTTGAAGGCGTTACTGATCGATGCATAGAACATTAAGGGATACAAAAGGATATCGAGGGCAAGGTGAGTTTTCCAAGAGGCTCTACGACATGAAGAGGAAGCAAGACTTAACTGTTTCAGGTAGAAAGGTTAAGACTCGCAGAGTGGGTCAAGTGGTAGAGTGCCTGTCTAGAAAGCATGAGGCCCTGCGTTCAAACCCCACTACCACAAAAAAAAGTTTAAATATAAGATCAGCATAGACTATTTGGGAAAGCTTTATTGGATCACAGAGGTTTGTCCACTAAGGAGTTTCCCACAGATACAGCCATGATCCTAAATTGTCACTTTCTTATTGACTTCCAGTGCTCAGCTGTTTTGCTTTAGAGCCACACACAGTTTGGCAAAGAGAATAACTTAAATTAAAGCCAGTTGTAACCTATGCAGGATATCATGTCTTACACTGTTATCTTACAGAATTATTTTGTTATTAATGAAATGTTGACCATGTTTTTATTGCATTTGACTTGCTTGTTTATAATAGAAAGTATGTTATCCCTGGACTGACATATCAAAAGTAACTTTGCCTCTGAGACCATTTTTTTAGTAGTAAGTGTGGAAAGTCTTAAACATATACATCCCTTAGGCCCAGAAAATACACTTCTGTGAACTTACATAAGGAACCAGTGATGTATGCTGATGTTTATTTGCAAGAATGCTAGTTGTAATGTTATTTGTAACATAACATTAGGAAATAGGAAAAATACTCAAAAAGTGTGTATTAAAAATCTCTGTGATAAGATGGTTTATAATTATTATTTTCTTTTTCTAAGTTTCTCAACATCCTGCCAGACAGACATTAACAGTTTTAGTTTTTTCAGGTGGATGAATAATAATTCCATTAAGAGACTCTACTAAATTTGATAAAACTTGAAATAATCTTCAACCTCTTTTGATTTTTAATCATGTGCATCTTCTTTTCAGCTGCCCTTAGCAAACCTTCAGAATTCTAGGATTACTCATGGGGGAAAAAATGGAGAATAAAAAACATGTAATTTTTAATGTTACTGCTCAGAGTTACTAAGTAGGGTAGTAATTGAGAAGAAACACCTGAATAAATAGTTTCTATTTATGCTTTTGAAAATAGGCATTTTTTTCTTATTGAAAGTTATTGGCCTCAAACCCCAGAACCACAAAAAAAAGTTACTGGAATTAAGAGAACTTTAAAAATGTTTTTTTAAGTATTAGTTATCATTTGATTACCACTGTCAAGGTATCAGTGCCACACAATCTGTCAGGATTAAATGTAAATGTCTAGTGGTTCCAAAAATATTTTTCTAAATTTGGATAAATTTATAAATTGTGGTTAAATTTTATATCTAAGATACTTACCTTAGAGGGGAGACACCATGATCATAAAGGTGGTTTTCCCAGGGCAAGGCTTATCCATTGTACTCCGGATGTGCTGACCCCTGCGATTTCCCCAAATACGGGAAACTCGACTGTAAAATTTGTGGTAGTAGGGGACTGCATTCGCGCTGTCCCCTGAAAAAAAGTTTATATCTAAGAATCAGTTTTTCTCTTGTGTTACTATCAGAAGCTAATTTTATTCAGCTATGGACTTTCTAATCTGTCTTGGAAGGTGGTTTAAGGCTAGCATAGAAACAGAAACTTAATGGAATTGATGGTCAGCAATGCCCAAGTTGACAGTTTAGGGAGAAGCAGTGTTTTGACATCCATGCTTCTATATGATACACTTATTTTTATGATACTAAAAAAATACTATATTAGTCTACTAGGAAAGCCTGAAAGATTTACCTTAATACATCAAGTGTGAAATTAATGAACTATCTGTTATAGAAATAACCTGGCTTGAGAGCATGTATCCCAACCAACACTGATGGTTTTTTGTCTTACTGTTTATCCATTTTGGATCTTAAACAGATTAGAATTAACTGACCAATTAGAACCTCAAGAATTTATTTAGTCCTATTCTGAAACTACATCTAACTTGTTATTTTAAAGGAATTTTGTATTTTTAAAGAACTAATGCCTGGGTCACAAAGTAGGAGTTGGCAAGCCCCAAATGTCCACAGGTGTCAGGCAAGCATTGCCAGAGAGAGAGGTGTCCTCTAGTGGTGGCTGGTGAACTGGAGAGTGTTGGCTCCATTTGAAAGGGACAACAGCCAGTGGCACCAGCCAGTTGTTAGAAAGCAGGGATGTCTTTTCAGTGTTATCAGGTCTGATTTGGGTAGGGACAGGAGTGTTTAGGGTATGTGACTGGAATATCAGATTATTTTTAGTCTCACCATGATTAAATTATATTATTTGACAAAAATATCAGCAGCCTTCTTGTTTGCAGTTTATTAGCCCTAAAAGCTTATATCAGATTTTTAAACTTTGAGTTGTTATAAAAAGTTTTGCTACAGTTAGTGATGGAATATTTATTGAATATCAATGATGTCTAGATATTATTAAAAGGGTGAAAATGATCAAACCCTATTAACCCAAAATAATTTCAGATGTTAGTGTTATAAAAAAATAAAATGGGTTGTGATAATGGCCTCAGTGAGCTACTTTAGGGCTGTTAGGGGAGGTTGTTCAGAGGGTGACATGTGAGTCACGCTGAGAGATGAAGAAGAGGCACCTCGTGCAAGCAGAAAGAATAACAAGTGTAAGAGCTCTTTGGGATGGGGACTAGTCATCTAGACATACCTAGTGTGCAGCTACGGGCTTTTGCTCGCTAGGCAGCCTCCCTACTGCTTGAGCTACAATTCCATCCCTGTATCTTTTTCTTATGTGAATATGACACTGATACCTTAAAGTAGTTTTCAAACTGTTTGTCATTAGGATCTTTTGTGCTTCTTTTTATTTTTCTCTCCTGAGGGAGTTTCACAAGCTGGGAGAAGCCCAGCCTAGCCTGGAATACTCTCTGTAGCCTAGGCTGGTTTCAAACTTGAGATCTTCCAGCTTCTACCTTCCAGTGCACCTGGCCTGCCTTTACACTCTTAAAACATTACTGTGGTCTTTGTTTTTGTGGACTCTCTGTGGATATTTGCTACATTAGAAATGTAAATGATTAAAATTTAAAAACATTTACTCTATTTATTTACTTATTTTGCAGTACTGGGGATCGAACCCAGGGTTTCATGCACTCAAACACTGAGCTACATTCATACCCCACTTGCTTACTTTAAAAAGAACAAATCAATATGTGTTAACATGAAAATATCTTTATGAAAATAATTTTACAAAACAAAAACTGACTTTTTGAGAAGGGTGGCATTGTTTAATATTTTTGCAAGTATTTTTAAAGTCTGGGTAGATTCCAATATCTACTTCTGCGTTCAACATACCAGTTGCAATATGTTATTTTGATTAAAGTATATGACAGTTACATGGTTAGAAATGGGAGTTTAAAGCCTTTTTAGGTAAATGTGCGTGTTACTAACTTATGTGTTGGCCTTTTGGACAATATTGGTTCACTGTGTTAGGCAGGTCTTCCAAATGTTGACTCACTTTTTTTTTATAATATCAAAGAATCACATTTATTAATATCACCACAAATTTCATCAGAAAAGGCTTTAAAAGTATTAGCTTTCAAGCTCACGATGACAAGTAATAAGTTTTCTGAAATTATATAATTTTTGCTTAGAAGCTCAAGTATTCTCAGTTACTTGCCTTTAAGTTACAGACTTACATTATTCATCTTTGAAGAAAGTGTCTTGGCCAAATAATCAAGTCCAAATGACCTTGGTGTCCCATGAAAAACTACTAGTGTATGTCATAACCCAAACATTTCCACTGGTGCTTTCGCTGAAGTACACCACTATGTAGTTTATGTGTGCTTTCAATTTGTCAGAGAATATTAAAAAAACATTTATCCAAGGGTGCATATTTAGTAAAAGTAATAATTTCCACTGCTTTATTAAGAACATTAAGTAGAATTTGCTTTTTTCCTCATTAAAATGTGAGAATACAGCAGTGAAGAATACACTGACTAATAATGCAGTTTGGCACCACTGCATTGATTCTTGCTAAGGTCTTCAGCAAGACCTTTACAGTGGGCAAAGATACCAATACTTTTGTTCCAGGATAATCCATGAGATTAAAACAATGTTACTCACTTTGAAAATTTCAACACAAATAGTGTCAAGAATGATGTAAAAGAAGTTATTCTATGAGTAGTGATGATATTGGACAAGTATAAACAAAATGAAACATCCAGCCACATGTTTGAATGCAGTTTTACAAATGGGTTACTAGTTTCTTCGTGTCTGCAGCCAAATCTTTTACGAGTTACTGGGCTGTTGAAAAATGGCAGTGCCTTGATTTCTTTCACTGAGTTCAGCTGGCATCCTGCACCTTCAGTTGCACAAGTCTCTCAGTGTGTATATGCTTCTCCACCTAATGCAGTGGGATAACTTAGCCTATTATCTTTTCTAGTTCGAAAAGCTTTGCTTTTTGGGTGTGAGTATTGGTGGGAGTAGGGAGGGTTGAACTCAGGGTGGAGTGGTGGAGCCACTCCACCAGCCATTTTTGCATTGGATATTTTTGAGATTAGTGTCTCATTTTATGCTCTGGGCCGTAGTCCTATTTGTACTTCCCTGCAGATCTGGGACTAGAGGTGCATACCACCACACCCAGCCATTGGTTGAGATGGGGGTCTCATGAGCTTTTTGCCCAGGCTGGCCTTGAACTGTGATCCTCCCAGTCTCTTTCTCCCACATAGCTAGGGTTATGGATGAGCCATTGCGTCCAGCCCAATTTTTTGCTTTTAAAGAGCTGTGCATAATGGCATGCACGTATAATCCTAGTTGCTCCGGAGGTAGAAGCAAAAGGTTGATTGCAGGTTTGAAGCCAACCCTTGCAAAGGTATCTCAAAAGCAAAAGAGCTGTGGGCATTGCTCACGGGGAGGGGGAGACATCATGTTTTAGTATACTCAGTTCTTCTTTTTAAATTCTGAATTATTAATTGCAGAATTATTAGTCAAAATGTAACTGACATCATAAAACTTACTGAAAGTGTTTTGTTGAGTAAGGCATAAGAAGTTAAATTATTAGCAATTATACAGCCAAGGACCTGCCAGATACTAGGTTTTCTTATGTACAGTTTTGCTGTTTTCTTTAGAATACACTGCATTAGAGAACTCTGATATGTCAGTTTCATGTTTTTCAGTATCTAGATCTAGACAGTCCGGCTGTGTACTGAGGAAACAATCTCTTTTTCAAACCAATAATTCACCCTTAAGCATAGGGAAAATACTTTGCACTTAAGCTTTCTTTTATTTTAGAATAAAATAATTGCTCAATTCTACAATGAAAATTTTAGCAAAAAATCTGCAAATTTTTACTGCAAAGTATGGGAATGTATATTTAGTATGTTTCTGTGTAAGCAAAGGGAAAACTTTAGGATCTCAAAATAATGATGTATTGGCTTATACGAGGTTGTAGGGATGGTAATAGATATAATCTGAGCTAATAGGAGCACAGAAAAGGAATCAAGAGCAAACTGGATTAATTTCTGAGAATATATTTAAATCCACTACCTGAAAAATTTCTAGGAACTAGAGATAAAGGTAGAGGCTTCTCAGTATGCCCAAGGCCCTGGACTTGAGCCCCAGTACTGCAAAAAAATAAAAAGAGGAATTTCTAAAGAACAGAAGAGGCAGAGTTCCTTCCTCCCTGGCTTGGTCCTTGTTCACAGTGACAATCGCCAAATGCACCAAGAAAGTCAGGATCGTCAGCAAATATGGGACCCACTGTGGTGTTTCCTTCTGGAAAATGGTGAAGAAAACTGAAATGAGCCAGCATGCCAGAATGCGCTTGCTCCTTCTGTGGCAAAACCAAGATGAAGAGACAACGGGTTGTGGGAATGTGACACTGTGGTTCCTGCATGAAAACAGTGGCTGGTGGTGCCTGGACCTTCATCACCCTTCCGTGGTCACTGTTAAATCTGCCATCAGAAGACTGAAGGAATTGAAAGACCAGTAGAAGCTCTTCCATTTGAGCGTACAATAAAATGGGTTAATTTATATAACAAAGTTGCCTTGGAGTCTGAATTTTATTTGGAAAAGTTTGGTGAGGGGGTTGTCATAATCTGGTCTCTGTTTTTTGCTTCCAGTAGTCAGATGATGCAATATAAGAATATAAGTGTTACAGGTTAGGTATGTGTGTTAATTTTTTCTAAGTCTGTTTTTCCCACTCTGTTTTTCTGATATACATTGGTTTATGCTGTGCAAGATTGTGTTCTTAAGAAATATTTAATACATTTTTAATGTGACTAAAATTGTAGAGTTTACTATAATAGACAAAGGATATATATACATTAAAAAAAAAGAACAGAAGAAAGCACACATTGTACATTGACTGTGAAGAGATGATGTCTTCATACATAGCCTATGGAAAACTCCACCGTTGATTATTAAGAGAAAGAAATTGAAAATAGCAAATGATATCTTAATGACAGGAAATACTTTATTTAGACTGCTACTAAACTGCAATGGAGGGAAGTAGTTATATCTTACATATTACTTATGGTTGCACAAGCCAAATTTGATCATATTATCGCCATCATTTTCCTTTCATATTATATAATATTTTTTCCCACACAGTCATGTTATTAAGCTTTTCAACATTAGGTGATATTTCTGTTGAATAGAATCAAAAGCAGCACCTTAGAAGATACATATCTAATAATTAAAACATGGTTAACTTTAGTAATTTGGCTTTCAAAAAGGATTCTATCCATATTTCCTACTGCATCTCTGCCATTTCATACCTAATTTTTTTTAAAATCATGTTAGGAATTTATTGCTTAAGTAATCAAAACTTGCATGTTAAAACCTTTTCTTAAGTGAAAGTATATTCTAAAATATCATATTCCATAATAGTGACCTTGATTCTTCCAGACAATGTCATTGTGATGTAAATTGCAACAACATTTCAAATCAGGGCATTTTTCTTTAAATACCACATGAGAAAAGTGTTGACATAAGCGTATTTGGCAGTTGGAATTTTTATTTCAAATTTTTCTTACCGTTTCTCTAGCGCCTGATCATTGGAATATTTGATAGGCTTTAGAGCATTGCATTTCTCCTGTGCTAGTTGTGGTCTGTGTCAAACCCTTAGAAAACTTAGGCAAATTTAATTTTTTGGTTTTAAAGTTTTTGATGTTCTCTCTTTCCAAAGGGATTTTGCTGTAGGAATCTGTAACAAAATCAGTGAAATGATTCAAGGTATGTATGCTTCATTTAATATTATGAAGTGACTAAATGGGATTGCATTAATAATACTTGATAGAGCATTTCTTAAGTATTACTATGTGCAAGCCACCATTCGTTCAAATAATATTAAATAAGAGAACAGGAATTAGAGGAGAGAAGGGAGAGAACAGGGTGTGGGTGGGGGAAAGGCAGAGAAAAAATGGGGCCCAGGATATGGCAATGGCAGAGAAGTTTTTGAAATAGAATATCTGGCATTTCATTTAAAGTTACATGTGTTTCTGTAAAAAGAAAATCCGAATCATCCAAAATCTTGAGTAAGAAGTCTGTAAGCACTGATAAAAAGTCCCTCTGATCACTGAATTGAGAATAGACTCAAGATGGAGAAAAGAATATGAGATAGGAGCCTGCCAAGGCAGAGCCAGAGTAGGGAAAACACTTTGGAGATTCTTGGAGCAGTTTAGTTAAGAGGTAGTAGAGGGAATGGATCAACATATCATGTAGGAAGACATAGTCAGATTTGGGTTCTATTTTGAAGACAGAACCAATAAGGCTTTGCTAATAAATTTGGTAAGTAGGTTGAGAGAAAGAAATGAAGAAAGACTCAGAAGTGTGAGGAGCTGTAATTACTGAGATGGAATGGTTTTTGAAGATACAGTGTGAGGATGAAGATCAGAAGTTCTCTTTAGGTCCTATTAAGTATAAAATATTACTGAGCTGGGCAAGGTGGCCCAAGTCTGTAATCCTAGCTACTCGGGAGGTGGAGATTGGGAGGCTCATGGTTTGAAGCCACCCCAGACAAAAAGTTTGTGAGATGCTTTGCACCCCCGCCCCCACCACCCCAGCTGCGCCGGGAAGGAAGAACAGGATTGCAGTCCATCCCAGCCTGGGCATAAAATGAGACCCTATCAAAAATAACCAGTATAAACTATACTGGCAGAGTGGCTTGTGTGGTAGAGCACCTGCCTAGCAAGCACAAGTCTCAGAGTTCAACCCCTGGTACAGCAGAAACAAAGCAAAGCAAACAAATGAAAACCACTTCTGAGGCAACTTAGTGGTTGTTTACCAGAGATATATGTACTTGAAGTTCTGGGGGAACTGTTACTCGGGGGAATAATAGTCTTTAGCATTGAGCTGATAACAGAGGTCACGGGTTTATATCAGAATGAGAAGAGAATTAATTACCAGTCCAAGGGAATACCAGAGATTAAAATGTGGATAGAAGAGCAGACTGAAAAAGTTTAAGAAGGAACAGTCAAAAGCTAGAGGCATGGCTGAAGCAGTAAGTCACCTGCTTTGCAAGCAGGAAGCTCTGAGTTCAAACCCCAGTACTGAATAAAAGAAAAAAAAAAAAGGACAGCCAGAGAAAGTGAAAAAACAGAAACCATGGGGAGAGTTTGAAAAACAAAAATGATCAGTAAGTCAAAAGCATTCAGTACCTTAAGGATCAAAATATTAACACAACATGAGCATCATGTAACCCTGTAGAGAAGAAACCAGGGAATAAATACCCTGTCCTCATTTTTCCTTCTCTTACTGGGACACTCTGCTTTGGCCAAACCCAAATAGAGGCCAAATAGCAAGGGAACTTGTTGATACAAGGCACCATTGCATGTTAAAATGCTATCTTATGTTGATACCAACTCCCAGTGGGAAAACTGATGATCTATAGAGTATAAATTAGCTTTTAGCATGGTTTGTAGTATATTATGGTTGAGAGATTTTTATTCTCTATGACCACAGAGCTATGCTGTAGAAAAAAAGGGTTAGCTCTAGAGTTGAAAGGAATAGATACATTGGGGTTAGTCCTCACAGAGTTACAGCTGTACATGCAGTAAAGAAAAACATTGTTATACAGATAATGTTTAGAGAACTTCAAAGCTATTCCACACAGACTATTCACTTCCTGATCTTGATTAAGTTGTTAATGGAAATAATAAAAATTGTTAATCAAATTGTAGCCATTGAGTGCATGTGTGTTTATATATGCATATGTATGTATGTATAATCTTATTAAATGATCTGTGAAGAAATAGGGAGCAGGTCCCACCCCTTTCTACTGTGCTTTTTTAAAGGCAGTTTCTACTGACAGTCATGTACTTTTATACTCACTGAAACGATACTTTTAGGAAAAAACTGTTGAGTTCATTAATTAGTTCTAGCATAATTATCTTTAATGTTATAAATGTAATGTATTATACTATTCATTTTTAAAAGGACGTTTTGCTAATTAAACCAGATCTTTTAAATCTGAACTCTTATTAAGAATGATGATGAGAAACCTCTGAAAATTCTTTTTGTGTCTAGGTTTAGCTACACCAGTGGACTTGAAGCTGAAGTTGATCCCCATCCTTCAGCACATGCATCATGATGCGATCTTGGCCTCCAGTGCTCGTCAGCTTTTACAGCAGCTCGTCACATCCTATCCTTCCACCAAAATGGTGATTGTTTCTTTGCACACTTTCACCCTGCTTGCAGCTTCATCTTTGGTTGATACGCCTAAGCAGGTAATTTTAATTTTCTTTACACTGCTTATTCTTCAGTAAACTTTCATATTAAATAAATGATAAGAAAAAGAAATCGACCCATAAGTTTTGATAGCATTAAGGTACCTTTCCCTAATAAAGTTGAGTTCAATTTCCTTTTTGTTCTCTATATTCAAAGTACTGATCCTTGGGAGCCCTGGAGGAAAATGGGGTGTCAGGGTACCTGGGAAGGTGTATAGTTTGCAGTAAAAAAAGGATGGAGTGTTAAATGCCAGTTCCTGTACTACAACTTTGTAAGGAGGAAAAGACCAGTGTATATAGTGACAGGGCTCTGAAGAGTCTTTTCTCAAATCTAAAAATTTTACCAATTAGTACTTGTATATGTGTGTTTTTGTTCAACTTGTGGACAGAGACTTATAGATAGGTGCAAAAAATAAATCCTCTTTTGCAACCCAGAACTCATTGTGCAGTATGAGTTTTGATACATAAAAGAAGGAATATGGTGAAAAATAAATAAATAAAAGTTTCACTAATCACTGCTGCATCCATAATGATAATGTTAGTGACAGTATTGTTCATGGAGTGATGTAATTTCCTTTATAGATTCAGCTTCTGTTGCAGTACTTGAAAAATGATCCCAGGAAAGCAGTAAAGAGACTTGCTATTCAAGATCTGAAATTACTTGCCAGTAAAACACCGCACACTTGGAGTAGGGAGAATATTCAGGTATGTAGAATTTTTAATATTTTATGTAGAAAAATAACATAATATATTATTTTGCATTGCATTTTTATATTGTGTTTGTCATCTCTTAAGTAGTAGTATATGAAAAACTTCTAACAGCATTGTTATGTTTGTGGCAGAAGTTGTTTTATAGGTGGCAAAATAAATAGTGAGGCATGGTGGTCCATGCTTGTAATCACAGCACTTAGAGGCTGAGCTTGAAGATAATGAGTTCAAAGCCAGCCTGGGTCACATAGTGAAACCCTGTCTCAAAAGCCAAAATAAAAATTAAAAAGTGAATGGATAAATAAATAAAACTTCTATCCTTAAGTTTGTTTTAGTGGATGAAACTTGCCTCTGAATTTCTTGTTAATCTTCCTATAACTATACTGAGCTCAGTTAAGTTACCTTATTGCCATCTTCAGTCAATTTAGGGAGAACAGTTTAGGTGCTGACTGTAACTTTTTAAGGAGAAGATGCTGGGTGAGTAAATTGGCAAAGTACCTTTCCCCTTTTCAGAGAAAGCAAAGATATTCTTGAGTTTTCTTTCATAAACGCAAAAGCAACACCTCACTTTAACTGTTGAGGTGACATTTTTTTATACCATTTCTTAAGTTAATGTTTTATATTTATTTTTTCTCAAAATGAACACTATTTATTTATTCATTACTGGTAACACACACACCATTTTCTACATAATGCTTAGTGAAATTGAAGATTGTTAGAATCAAATCTGGCTCCTGTGTGGTCTTTGAATTTCACATTATGAAAACTAACCTACTATGTTAGTTAGCTTTTCAACACTGTGATGAGTAGCTGAGAAAACATCAATTTAGAGGAAGAAAGATTTATTTTGGGTAACAGTTTCGAGGTTTCTGTCCATGGTCAGACACCTCCATTGTTTCTAAGCCAGGATGAAGCAGAACATTATGACTGAATGGTGAGGAGGAAATGTAGAGTTGCTTACCTCATGGCAGCCAGGAAGCAGAGAAGAATTCAGGAAGGGGTCAGGGCAAGATACACCCTTCAAAGACATGCCCCCCAGGACCTTCTTCCCCACCTTCCACGATTTTGCCACCTCCCAGTAGTGTATTATACTTTATAATAGATTTTGAATCTATTAATGGTTGAATCCATTAATGAAGGCAGACCCCTTATGATCCAACCACTTCCCAGAAGACCCCCATGTGAATACTGCTTTCATTGGAGACCGTTCCTTCAATGCATGAGCTTTTTGGAGGGGACACTTCACATCCAAACCTTAAAAGCTGCTGTTTTCTGTTTCTTTGTTTGCAGTTTTCTAAACCTGTTTTAATTATAATGTGATTTGACAGTCACAGATCCCAAGAGATAAGGACAGTTGTTAGTATTTGCATTTAGTAGATAAGCAATTAGGGTTCAGAGAGACTTAAGGTACTAGTAGTTATTAGTTTGTAGTTATTGTTTATGGATTTTAGGTAAATATACTCTATTGGTCCTTGGCAAGTCCACCAAAAAAAAAAAATAGACAATTTGAGATTGCAATGAATGTAAAAGTCAGTTCGTCAGAAATTGATACCTTAAGAATATGACATTTTCCAGTGCATAAACAAGTTGTATCTTTCTGCTTATTTAGGGCTCTTTATTTCTTGCCTTATTCTACTTTGTTTGATGTTAAAATTTGGTTTGGAAATAACTTGTTGAGGATTTTTGTTTCTATGTTCATCAGGGATATTGGTGTAAAGTATTCTTTTTTGGTTCTATTCTTACCTGGTTTTACAATCAGGGTAATACTGATTCATACAATGAATTTAGAAGTGTTCCTTCCCTTCCTGTTTTATGGAATAGTTTATGGAACAGTCTCTATCTCTTTATTGAATTTCTGATTCATATCCTGAATTGACTTTCTTAATTCATTCAATTATTATTCTGTATTTTCTTAGAATTTACTGACTTTACAAAAATCATTCCTTTTGAATTTTTTATCCAGTATTTCTTTTACTTCAATATCTTTGGGGTAAGTTGCTGAAGAATTAGGAACTTTTGGAGGAATCACATTGCTTTGTTTTGTTTTTCCATATTGTATTTCTTTGTTGAGGTTTATGCATCTGTTGGTTAGATATCTCTTCCAATTGTAAGTGAGAGCCTTTTTAGGGAACAGCCTTTTCAGTGATTTGTCCTGGGATATCACATTGTTGTAAAGTGTAAAATGTTTTTGTGATACAGGTTTCCGTTACTTTTTTGGTTGGGATTAGTGTATTTTAACATACATACTGTGTTGGAGCCTGAGGGTCCTCCTTTCTCTGTAGGTCTCACAAGAATGGGGATCAAGCAGATGTATTATAGATTGTGGAGTATATAGGGCATACCCTCTGTGATAACTCCTGGTCTTGTCAGCAGTGACGGTCTGAAGGGGTACAGGAGGAACCTATGCTCTGTCCACAGTCTTTTTGTTGTTTCTCTTTATTGTCTGCTATAGCAGTAGATGTCCAGGAGTGGTTCTTTCAGGCCCCTCATCTGTGCATACTTGGAGTTGGTTGTCAGTATGGTTTTTTAAAGTCTTCCCTGTAGTTTTAAGTGTTTACTGAAGTTCCACCTGGTTTTGGGGTGGGCGAGGAGAGGAGGGGAGAGCAACAAACTATACTGGTCAGAGGGGTGCAGTTCCTGCACTATCAGCCATAGATATCATTTTGTGAGGTCCAGTCCTTGCATGAAATCATTCATGCCTCTTCAATCTTCTGACCCTCTTAAGCTAAGCCTCCTCAGAGGAAAAGCAAGCTCCACTCAGTTCCATGTCTCAAACCTGAATCTCTCTGCACGTATTTTTCAATGAGCTTGCTTCAGTGGGCCCACAAGGTAGACACTGGCTGGGCCAGGGTGACAATGGTTGCTATGAGTTCCAAGGAAAAGGAAAATGTAGGAACTTAGTTCTCCCAAAGCAGCAAGCTCAGGCGTGACTTCCTTAAAATGGCTTCCCTTGGCTGGAAAGTGCTTCTTGCTTCTAGTTTGACATCTTGGCTCCTTTTTAATATTTACTTCTCCCACAAGGAATTTTTTGCCCTTTGTGGCTGAAATCTGAGCATATTGATTTTAATTAAGTGGTTGTAGTCAAATAATCATTTTAGAAAGTTGAGATAGTTTTGAAAATATTGTAACCAGTTCTACTGATTTAACCTTTATAAAGTAATAGTGTGTTGATTTTATGTTTGAATTTTACTTATAATTACCAAGAGTAGTTATTCTTCTAGGGCTCCCTCCCTTCCTTCCTTTCTGCCTTCCTATCAGCTGATCTTATCATTGATGTCTAATTTTTTAATGCTGAGTATTCCAAGCTCAAATTGTATCCATTCCATTACTACTGTCATTGTTTTTTAAATATAAATTCCATATGGAATCACATATCCCAGGTTTAAATAAAAGGCTTTCATTCTGAATTTTTTAAAAACCTGAAACAAGGAAATGCGTAAATCAAGGCCATAGGATAATGTATTATTAGAATAACTTCATAAGAACTAAAGTATTTTAAAATATGTTTATTTTTTTTTTCGGATTTTTGGATGCCCTGTTAAGGTAAATAGTATTAATCTATATTAATAGTTTATGATAGTCTTATATTATAGGCTTGTTTTTTTTTTTTTTTTTTCCTCGCAGTAGTAGAGATCAAACAAGGGCTTTGCACATGCTAGGTAAGTGCTGTATCACTGAGCTACATCCTCAGCTCAGTCTTCTTTAAATCTTAACGAGGATGTCCAACTTACAAAACCTCCCTGTTACAAAGCAAAATGTTACTTGTTCTGGATACCCACAAAGACATAATTTTATTTTTGACATTTTCTTTCCTAAGAATTTCTGAATTATACTCTACCTAGTACTAAAGGAATGACAAGTTAAGCCTGAGAATTAGTTCTTTTAGTGATTTTTTTTCTTTTTAGTTAGTACAATGGAGTCATAGAAAATTTAGAAGGGCCATGTCTCTGACAATACTTTCAAACATAACTTTTTTTTTTTTTTTTACTTTAAAGATTATGCGTTTTTTTTTTACCATACTTTTCTGGAACACATCCCTGGTGGCAAGTCCCAGTGCAGGGTCAAGAGACTGACCCAGAAAACAGTAATTTAGGCTAGGGCCTCTGGTTGAGCACTATAAGTTAAGCTAGCAAAGACGGAAAAATTCAGACCAAATAATGAGGAAGGCAGTGGTAGTGAGTGAGATAGAGGACTCTGTTTGGAGAGGAAATTTTTTTTTTCTTTTTTGTTGATATTAAAGATAGTCCTGATAAGAATAATTATATACTAGCTAATGTCCTTGAAACAGAAACTTGAACCAGATTTCATCATTGAAATATGATTGGCATGCCATCTCTAGGGAGCTTCCTGATTTGCTCTGTTAAGCTTTCTTATTTTAATCAATGAACCTTTAAATCATTTTGTACTTACTGAGACCTTAAAATGGATCCAGTAATGTGCTATATGACAGAAATCAGAATGTAAGATTGTAAATAATTTATCATAAGATTTCTAATGTTCTGTTTAGTTTTTCAGATGGTAAATTTCCTCTTGTTAAAAATTAACATCACTATCATCTTGTAAAATGTCTCACTTGCCTTTTTGAAAATTGCAAAAGGTTACCTGTCCATTATACACAGAGCACTCTTAGACATAATTTGGATACATATAAATTCAGGATATAGTCCCTGACTTCTGGAGCCATTTGATTGTTGGTTAGGTAGTCCTAACCTACAAACTAATAGTACATGGCAGGACGGTTTAAGCAATAAAAAGCAAATAAATGGAAATTGCCTAAGTATTTTAATAAATGAATGGAAACTATGGTATTAATTGATAATCACTTTAAAAAGAGCTTTCATTTGAACTTCAAAGACAGTATGTGTAGCCAGGCTCTGGTAGCTCACACCTGTAATCCAAGCTACTTAGGAGGGTTGAGATCAGGAGATCACAGTTCAAGACCATACGGGCAAATAGTTTGTGAGAACCTCATCTCCAAATAACCAGAGCAAAATGAACTGGAGGTGTGGCTCGTGATACAGCACCTGCTTTGCAAGCATGAAACCCTGAGTTCAAATCAAAAACAAAAAATTGTGTCTGTAACTGTTTTTATTTCTTCATCTCTACTCTTTTATTTTCTTTTACACATTTGCATATCATAAGATATTTCACTTTAACATTTAAAATGCTAAAACCAGAGGCTTTTTTTTTTTTTGCCTTTATTGTCTTGGATTTTTAATACATCACAGGTTGGGAGTGTAACTCAGGATAGATTGCTTGCTTACCATGTACAAGGCTCTGGGTTCAACTCCCAGTACTGGGATGGGGGAGGGAAGGCCCAAAATATCTCTTGTCCTCATCCTCTAAGCTCCATTCCCATGTTCACGCTCTCATTCAGGCCATCTTCTCTACTTGCACGGATTACTGCCATAGGCTATAGAATGGCCTCCTTAGCTCTCATCTGTCTTTGTTAACTTACTTTGTTTACCATTGCCAGAATAAGCTTTCCTAAGTTTTTCATGCCATTGTGCCTTTCTGTGGCTTCTTTCTATCCTTTTCCATCAAGTTTAAATCACCTCGCTTAACTTTGAAGGCCATTTATAATCTAACCTAGCCCCCCCCCCTCTTAGTTTTCATCTACTTCGAACATATCTCCTCTGAGGCCAGAAATAAACACTCCATATACTGACCTAGTTGCCAGAGCTTTTGTTTGCATTACCCAGACTTTCTTTCTCTTCCATTACCAGAAGCGTACTGCATCTTTAAGGTCTGTTTCCAATCCTTCTATGATACTTTCTGATCTGTTGCTATTTTTTCTATAGTTGTTAACTAGGTTTTTCTTTTAATTGAAAATCTATACACACACATAATAAATTCATAGAGTACCAAGGTATACAGTGAGTGCAGAATAGTCTTCCATCTCTTCCCACTGGTATCCTTTAACAGAGTTACCTAGTTTCTTATGTATTCTTTGTAAACTTTTTCATCCACATGCATTGTCCTATCTTTTTTCTACACAAATGAAAATATACTCATGTATGTTCTGAACTTTTGCCACTTAAAAATGCGTCTTGGAGAACATCACATATTAAGAAGGTAGGGCTGTTGCATTCTTTTACCAGCTGTGTATGCTCCTTTTATGTTCCCAGTCCCCCACTGATAGACATTACTTCAGTATTTCTACAAATGTAAAACTGTTCTGAAATTTCTACGTATTTTACTTAGCTAAGGGTTATGAGTATTATTTCATATATGTGTGTTTTTAAAAAACAGTACAGAGTGTGTGGCATTCTATCTAGTATATATAGTATATCTGTATATCTAGTATATCTAGAAAAGCTGTATTCTTTTCATTTTTGTTCATTTGCTGTACTCCTCACTATAGCAGTCTGAGGTATTAGCAAAAGCAACATGCTCATTTTTCTTTCACTGCGGTGAACTTGGGAATGTGCTCATAGTACAGTCACTCTTTGTTAGTTCTTTTACTGTCACTGCTAACATTGCTACATTGAATGGGTTGTAAAAATCACCCTGGTAAATATAATTTTCCAGAAGAGGAATTGGTGTGTCCAATGATACATATTTTAAAATTTTTGAGAGCTAATGCCAAGTGCCCACCCTTTATACCCTTTACCCTCTATCAGCACAGGTGTAAGTACCTGTTTCCCCAAACTCTTCAGTGTGATATATTAATGTTAGCCAATCTGCTAGGTGAAGAACAGTACTTTTTTAATTTGAAAAATTACAAATGAAGTTAAGCATCTTATTTTAATGCATTCATATAGTTTAATGACCTACCAATTTTATTAGTAAGAACTTAGTATTAAGATTTCCCTTTATTGATCCTACATAATACGAATTTTTTCCTGTTTTGTCAATTGTCTTTTTACCTCTGTTTTTCCACGATAACTGCTAGTACTTACTATAGTTCTCTTATTAATCATAAAAAAAGATTTAATTTTATTTTACCCTGATAACTGGCCAGCTGTCCCTTTCAGTTTATTAAATGCTCCCTCTGGTTTGAAATGGCATCATCATATAATAAAGGCTAATGTATCTGCATCTATTGCTTGTCAGAATTTTTCTGTATTTTGTTTAATTTTTATTTTTCTATGTAATCTTTGAAATCACTTTATCTAAATTCCCTCAAAATTTTGATAGTTTTTTTGGGATCTTATTAAATTTATGATTTAATTTGGCCATTTCCAAACTTTCACTTATAATTTTCCCCTGGACTTTTAAGTTTTGGTCATTTTATGACTCTTGTGGGAAGATGAGAATTAGTTAATAAGACTGTTGTTCAGCTGTTTATGTTACATGCACTCACATCTCACAAGATGAGGCAAGAGGGCCTATCCTATGAGCACAGAACCCATATTCACTGCAGTGAAAGAAAAACTACCATCCTGCTTTTGGTACCTCACACTACTGCAGTCAGGAGTAGAATAAATGATCAGAAATGGAAAGAGGATAGTTTTACTCACTTATATTCTAGACTGAATGCCACACACATACATTATTTTTAAAGACTCCCTTTATTTCACGCAGGAGTTACTCTTAACAAGTAAAATACAATAGAAATTTTAAAAGGTTTATATTTACATAAATATTGAGAAAACTGCACATGCAACACACCCAGTTTCAACTATTACTGACATTTTTCTGGTAGAATGGTACCATTTGTTATAAAGGAACCAATTTAGAGTAGGGGTATAGCTCAGGGTAGAGCACTTACCCAGCGTCTGCACGACCCTGGGTTTGATCCTTAGCACTGTGCACTCACACACAAAAGAGCAAGGAAGAAAGGAAAAAAAATGGACTGATACTGATTTATTATTAGTCATAGTATATACTTTATCCAAGTTAGTTTTTACCTAGTGACCTTTTTCTGTTCCAGGATATTTTATTACATTTAGTTATCATGTCATCTTAGGTTCCTCTAAGGACTTCAGCAGTTTGATCATGAAAAAAGACCTTAATGTATAATTTTTCTTAAAAACATGAATGATATTGACAGTTCAGAAATATATTGATGTTTTAAATCTTATGTTCATTTCTTTTCTGCATTTCAGGCACTCTGTGAATGTGCCCTCCAGACTCCTTATGACAGCTTAAAACTAGGGATGTTGTCTGTCCTTTCTACACTATCAGGGACCATCGCCATCAAACATTACTTCAGCATAGCTCCAGGTACAGAAGAGATAATTTGCTAATTCCTTTTATGCATGCTTATATCTTAAGTTGTTTCCTAAATAAATAAAACTTTAAATCAGGGAAGGTTTGAATTTCATATGCCATTGTATGCTAGCAGTTTATTTGAAAATAATTTCTTAACCAATGCTTATGATAATAAATTCTTGCATTCTTGATCTTAAATGCAAGGGTGTTGTTTTTCTGGCTCTTTTTTTTTTTTTTTTGGCAGAATTAGGGTGTGAATTCAGGGCCTCTCACTTGATAGGCAGGCAATCTACCGCTTCGTCCACTCCACCAGCCCCTAAGAATATTGTTTTTCTGACTGTCCTTTTTTTTGACTAATATGTTCCTAGATGCCTATTGAAAATGATTAACTCAAAAATGCGTTTATTAATGCCCAGTGAGGAGCTTGGTTACCTAGTAGACTTAAAGCCGAAGTATTTTTTGTGGTTTTAATAAAAGTTTTTTTTTAAACTCTGTTGCTACTTTTTCTAGTTAGTTAATTTGAACTGAATTAACTACAGTGTAGATTTATTTGCCCTTTTTATGACTGCATAGTATGGATTTGCTGGGTAAAAGGAATTCCCTGCCATGTAAGTCTTTATGGGAAGCTGAAAAGACCTGATACTCCAGTTGCCATATCTTCCTTATAGCTAGGGTACACATATATGCCTGGACTCAAGTAATCATTTCTGTGCCACAGACTGAATTGGGAGCCAATAACAAAGAAGTAGAGACCAGTAGCAATGACCAATGTTGCAAGGACCATAGTGGCAACATTTGGTTTCCAGAATACGCTATAGCATTGGATGTTTTCCATGTCTGGTACCTATGATAGCTGGGATATCAAGTAATCAGTAACAAGAGCTGCAATGTCTCTGTGTATGGTTTTTCGGACTGTAATCTTTGTTGCTGTATGGGCTCTCCTTTTTCCACTTTCTGACCTTAGTATTTCCAGCCTTTCCAGTAATCCTGTGAGGTGCTTTCTGATAATCAGCTTTTGCTCCATAATAAATCATTCCAAAACGATGGCTTAAAACCATGACCGTTTTATTTGCTTTGAATCAGCAGTTTTAACTGGACTCAACTAGGCATTTCTGTTCTCTCCTGGGATCACTTGTATGGCTACAGTTACCTGGAGTCTTGACCAGTACAGAATGATCAAAGATGGCTTCATTCATAGTCTAGATGTTCAAAGGCTTTCAGGTATCTTAGTTCTCCATCTGACTATTAGAGAGCTAGCTTGGGCTTGGTCTCAAGGTGCTAGCTACAGCCAGAAAAAAGCAAGCCATCAATATATAAGCACTTTTCAATCTTGTGTTTGCATTCTGCTTTTATTTACGATCTTATTGGCCAAAGCAAGTCACATGGATAAGCCTATATAAGTGGAGAAATAAACTCTTCTTGATGTAAGGAATTACAAAATCACATGGCAAAGGGACATGCCTACAAGGGATGGGAGCGATTTTCTTTTTTTTTTTATTATTCATATGTGCATACAAGGCTTGGGTCATTTCTCCCCTCTGCCCCCACCCCCTTCCTTACCACCCACTCCGCCCCTTCTCTCTCCCCCCCACCCCCTCAATACCCAGCAGAAACTATTTTGCCCTTATTTCTAATTTTGTTGTAGAGAGTATAAGCAATAATAGGAAGGAACAAGGGTTTTTGCTGGTTGAGATAAGGATAGCTATACAGGAAGTTGACTCACATTAATTTCCTGTGCGTGTGTGTTACCTTCTAGGTTAATTCTTTTTGATCTCACCTTTTCTCTAGTTCCTGGTCTCCTTTTCCTATTGGCCTCAGTTGCTTTTAAGGTATCTGCTTTAGTTTCTCTGCGTTAAGGGCAACAAATGCTAGCTAATTTTTTAGGTGTCTTACCTATCCTCACCCCTCCCTTGTGTGCTCTCGCTTTTATTATATGCTTAAAGTCCAATCCCATTGTTGTGTTTGCCCTTGATCTAATGTCCGCATATGAGGGAGAACATACGATTTTTGGTCTTTTGGGCCAGTCTAACCTCACTAAGAATGATGTTTGGGAGAGATTTTCATAGCCTCCTTTATAAACACTTTACCATATACCCAGTGTGCTTTCAATGAATTATTTCTCTGCATAAATCAGCAGTCTCAGCTTCTTAGCTTATAGTTAACATTCTTGGCTAACATCACACTTTGAAAGAGCTGTGGTAAATAAAGTCTTGATTATATCTTAAAATTTAGAAGAACCTTCTCATGTAAGTACCTTTTAAGTGAAGCACATGCCATGGCGTTTATAAATATTGAAACAGGCTTGCAAAAGTTCAAAAATGTATCTAATAGAGTCACATACACATGAAGTACCTGAGGCCAAAGATTCTGACTCCAGATTTTTTCTTTAAATACCCAACTAACCTTGAGTGAATGGTGCCTTTGTGTCAAGTTATAATCCATACTTTTCAAACTAGATATTTGGTGAAGTTTGTTAAAATGTGGTTTGTATATGGAATTAAGGAAAAGGTATAAATAACCAAACTAGGTAATGTTTATAGAAAATTAAAGTCTAAGGCTTTTCCGAAGTTAGATTATTTCTGTGTGTTCAGGAATGTTTCCATTGTTTAGATTCTTTCAGTATAACCAGAAGTAGTATGTAAAGCAAATTTCGTATGCCCAGTGTCACAAATGAATGCCTCTTAGGCATATAAAATGTTCAATGTCATATGTAAGGAAAATGCAAGTTAAAGCAAAGTAAAAGAATTTCAATGCATCAGATTGACAAAGATTCAGAAATTTAATAACATGCTGTATTGACAAGGGTATACGTAAGCAGCCACTCTGATTACCGGTGTGAAAATAAATTATTAAATATCTGCCTAGGCAGTTTGGAAATATTAATTATAGATAATCCAGAATTCCACTTCTAGGAATTTATCCTACTTATGTACTCACACACTGAGGAATGACATATGTACAAGATTATTGATAACAACATTACATGTAATAGCAAAATACTGTCTATAAAAGAGGATATGATAATATCATAAAAAGGTCCATCAATAGGGGACTCAAAAAGAAATTATGATAGATCACTACAATTACAATTTATTAAAAAGAATGTACAACATGGAACTATCTCCATGATACAGCATTTAAAAAGAACTATAGCCAGGTGTAGAACAGAGCATAAACAAAGAGGGAAAAAAGGAATGCTTACAAATTTATAGACTTTGGAATGATCCCTAACAAACTGGTAGTACTGGGTGGATGAGGTTAGTGAAGGAAAACTTTAAAAAAATTTTTTTACTATTTGTTGTATCTTTGGAACCATGTGACTTTATTTAGAAAATTATTTCTACATGAATCAAAATTAAATTTAAAATAATAAACTTATCCATTAAAATGTTAGTGTAGAAAAAATAAAAAAGTTTTAAATCCCCTTATTGTTCTTTAAGCTTATCCATTTAAAACTAGAGCTTCTCTCTTATAAATTAAAATCACAACATAGGCCTCCATTTTGTAATTTCAAATGTGAATTTAAAAAAGTCCTCCAATCTACAGCATAGACTGAAGATATAAGGTTCAGGAGTAGTGTATGACTAATAAGTCTTCTGACCCTGATGGCAGGCTACTGAAAGCCTTTCAACTGATTTCTTCTGTAGAAATAGTTGTTGAGTCACATGATCCTAAAGTCTTTTCCAGTTCTATAATCATGAATTCTTATGCAAATTTTTGAGGTGTAAGATACCACAATTTGCACGTGAGAGGGAGCAAACAAAATTTTTCTCTTTTGAACCAATGATTTTTATCTGACAAGAAGCCTATAATGACATCCATTTTGATCACAATACATTAGAACTCCCAGAATAGGGCTATAGGTATGGCTGAGCAATAGAGCACCTCTTGCTAATGGAAATCGCTGAGTTCAAACCCAAGTACTGCCAATCCCCCCCCAACAAACAAACAAAAAATCTGCCAACAATAACAACAGAAACCTCCCAGGATACAGTCTGTATTTGTTTTGACTTTTGTACTTTTTCTTAGTCAATCTTTATTAGTATTTTTATGAGAAAGTTCTATGTTAATTTTAAATCTTGGTCATTACAAACTGTTGGCTTTTGTTATGTAACTATTTTAAGTACCTTGACAGAAGAAAGAGAAATAGTGATATACATTGGTAATAGGGTCGAGGTAGAAAATTTTGTTAAAATTTATTTTGACTGGCAGTCAAACAAGTGGGAGGCCCTGAGTTCAAATCCTAGTACCACCAAAAAATAAAATTTATTGAGAGATTTTTGTCATAAAACTAAAAAAAGTAACCTATAAGCTGATTTGCTTTTGAACTGTGTGACTGAATTATAATCTATATTGCTTTTCTCTGCTTGTTCAGGAGATGCAGGTATGTCCCCGAGATCCTCTGATTTGGTCAAATTAGCCCAAGAGTGCTGTTACCATAATAACAGAGGAATTGCAGCTCATGGAGTGAGAGTTCTAACTAACATAACCGTCTCTTGTCAAGAAAAAGGTAAGCTTGGTCAAGACTGACATTATGTATGAACTTTGAATTGGAGTTTGGACAGAGTTTTGTATGTTTGGTTTTTAATCCCTTATTTTTAGACTGTGCACATTAATCTGCAGTTGTGTCCTGAAGTATTCTTAAAGCAAGCTTCTCAAGACTATTCCTTGTGAAAAATAATAAAAAATCTGAGGATCTTGAGATTGAGATTGTGGAATTGAAAAGTTTTATGAAACATTGCCGTTTCCTCCCACTGCTTAACTTTTGAAAGTGTAGATTCTATGAGTAGATTGCTTAGGATTCTACCCCTGTGTTCTAAGACAGTTTTTTCATTTGTACAGAAACTAGAAAAACTACTTATCAAGTTGCTTAAATAAAAAGTACTTTACCGTAGAGGCAATTGAACTAACAGAGTGATGTGAATTAAGTTTTCATGGAATTCATCTCTAGATATATGTAAGCAATTCGCATAATCAAGGAGAACATGCAAAGAAAATAATGCACATACTTTATGTTCCTAATGTCTTTTGACCTAAAGACTTGAAAAGTTTCATGGTGTGTCTAAGAACAGAAAATGCATTTTGGACAATCCCTCTATTTTAGTGTTTATTTTGACCTTTATTAAGGATCACAAGCTCATTAGTCCTCCTTACCCCCACTAGACTTTTTACTGTTTACGAAGCTCCTACACTAACTTAGGAGACATTTCTCAAAGTTCTATGTTGATTCTAATTTGAATAATTAAGCCTATTTTATTTAACATAATAAAAATATTTCTTCCATGTAATATTGAAAACTGCTATATATTCTCAAAGTTGACTTACATTTACCTAAATACAATTAACTGAAACATAGTTTTCTAGACCCTCCAAAGAAATTGTAGCCCTATGGTAGTGAAAAGATGTTGTAATACTGCTATTATACAAACTGTCTAAGGGGTTTCTTTCCTTAAGGTCAGACCTGAAACATTAATTTAAGATAATTGTGTAGGCCTCATTACTTCCTCAAAGTGGCTAACTCATTAGAAATTGAAAGGTATTATTTCCAAGGTGAAAATGAACCCGCGTAAGTTATGTCTGATTATGAAAATTAATGCACACTGCATAGTTTTCTTAGTATTTTCCTTAGTTGAGCTGGTAATGCTGTTGTCAGACTTTATTTTCAGCTTTGTGACTTTAGCTCTTACTTAATATGTATATTTTTATTATTTTCAATAAAGTGGTAGAAATAAAGGAGTCTGAAGAATAGTTTACATTTTAGAAACAGCTCAGCTTATGTTTTTGTAAGAAAGGTTAACCTTACACATTCAAGAATTTCCTGTATCTTAGGCTTCTTAATGTTTTTTCCTCCCTGTGAATCTGTATGTGTATATTTTTATCTTCTATGTGTGGTCACCCTAAAATGTAGTGCTTTTCTTCTAGATCTTTTGGCACTGGAGCAAGATGCTGTCTTTGGCCTGGAATCCCTTCTGGTGCTTTGTAGTCAAGATGATAGTCCAGGTGCTCAAGCTACTTTAAAGGTGAAAACATCACTTAGTGTAATGCCTGTTTTCATGGCCTAAACTAGGAAGTGACAATCCCTAGTTTGAAGGCTATCTACTCTCCATCACAGTTACTCAGTTCTGCCATTGTAGGGCAAATACAACCATGGACAGAATATTTAAGGTGAGGGGGAGAGGATTTCTGTATTCCAGTAAACTTTATTTACAAAAAAGAAGCAGGAGGCTAGATTGGGCCCAGAGGCACTACTTTGTTAACACCTGGCTTAAACAAACATAATGCTCTTGTTTTTTTTCTTTTCATACTGGAACATTTAAAAAATTTAATGCCTAAACATATATCCTTTTATTAGGGACATTGTATTGGTGACTGTGGTCAGTGGTCACATATATGGGTTACTTTAAAGACTAGAACCAATAAATAAATAGGATAGGTTCTCTGCCCTCTTGCATGGCATCTTGTGTAGTCTCAGTCTACTGTTGGAATGACAGTTTGTATGCATGTCAACAAAATCAGAAGGAGCACACGAACTCCCAAGTTCTCCCCATTCTTCTGAAACAGTCCCAGGGACTTTCTTCATCCCCTCACAGGAGGTGATGGGACAAGAGGGTGGTTTTCAATGTCACTATTTTTTTCACATGACTATGGTTGGTGTCTTCATACACCACATACTTCATGCACAGCTGTTAAAGTCTGCCACTGCTCATCACAGCCAGGCATGGTCATGGCCTCTGGTCACACTTGTCCTAAGTGCAGGTTGAAAGTTCTGCTTTGCAGCATAGCAGCTTTAGTTCTATAAGCTTTTATTCCTTTTGTCTAGACTAATACCATCTCTCTTATCTGTTACAAGGTAACAGTCTTATCCGCTTCTGGCAGCCCACTTTCTTCAGTCTTCCACATCTGGTTTTTTTGTTTGTTTTTTTTTTTGATTTTTATTTTATTCATATGTGCAATGTTTGGGTCATTTCTCCCCCCTCCCCCTGCCCCCTCCCCTACCACCCACACTATCCCCTCCCTCTCCCCCCCACCCCCTCGATACCCCGCAGAAACTATTTTTCCCTTATCTCTAATTTTGTTGAAGAGAGGAGAGTATATGCAATAATAGGCAGGAACAAGGGTTTTTGCTAGTTGAGATAAGGATAGCTATACAGGGAGTTGACTCACATTGATTTCCTGTGCATGTATGTTACCTTCTAAGTTAATTCTTCTTGAACTAACCTTTTCTCTAGTTCCTGGTCCCCTTCTCCTATTGGCCTCAGTTGTTTTAAAGTATCTGCTTTAGTTTCTCTGCGTTGAGGGCAACAGATGCTATCTAGTTTTTTAGATGTCTTTTATCCTCATATCTCCCTTGTGTGCTCTCACTTTATCATGTGATCAAAGTTCAGTCCCCTTGTTGTGTTTGCCCTTGATCACATATGAGGGAGAACATACAATGTTTGGTCTTTTGGGCCAGGCTAATCTCACTCAGAATGATGTTCTCCAATTCCATCCATTTACCAGGGAATGATAATATTTCATTCTTCTTCATGGCTGCCTAAAATTCCATTGTGTATAGATACCATATTTTCTTGATCCATTCGTCAGTGGTGGGGCATCTTGGCTGTTTCCATAACTTGGCTATTGTGAATAGTGCTGCAATAAACATGGGTGTGCAGGTGCCTCTGGAGTAACCTGAGTCGCATTCTTCTGGGTATATCCCCAAGAGTGGTATTGCTGGATCATATGGTAGATCAATGTTTAGCTTTTTAAGTAGCCTCCAGATTTTTTTCCAGAGTGGTTGTACTAGTTTACATTCCCACCAGCAGTGTAAGAGGGTTCCTTTTTCCCCGCATCCTCACCAACACCTGTTGTTGGTGGTGTTGCTAATGATGGCTATTCTAACAGGGCTGAGGTGGAATCTTAGCGTGGTTTTAATTTGCATTTCCTTTATTGCTAGAGATGGTGAGCATTTTTTCTTGTGCTTTTTGGCCATTTGAGTTTCTTCTTTTGAGAAAGTTCTGTTTAGTTCACTTGCCCATTTCTTTATTGGTTCACTAATTTTGGGAGAATTTAGTTTTTTAAGTTCCCTATATATTCTAGTTATCAGTCCTTTGTCTAATGTGTAGCTGGCAAATATTTTCTCCCACTCTGTGGGTGGTCTCTTCAGTTTAGAGACCATTTCTTTTGTTGAGCAGAAGCTTTTTAGTTTTATGAAGTCCTATTTATCTATGCTATCTCTTAGTTGCTGTGCTGCTGGGGTTCCATTGAGAAAGTTCTTGCCTATACCTACTAATTCCAGAGTATTTCCTACTCTTTCCTGTACCAACTGTAGAGTTTGTGGTCTGATATTAAGCTCCTTGATCTATTTTGAGTTAATATTGGTATAGGGTGATATGCATGGATCTAGTTTCAGTTTTTTGCAGACTGCTAACCAGTTTTCCCAGCAGTTTTTGTTGAAGAGGCTGTCTTTTCTCCATCGTGTATTTTTAGCTCCTTTGTCAAAAACAAGTTGGTTATAGCTGTGTGGCTTCATTTCTGGGTCCTCTATTCTGTTCCACTGGTCTTCATGTCTGTTTTTGTGCTAGTACCATGCTGTTTTTATTGTTATTGCTTTGTAACAAACATTTGCTCTTGATCTTTACTTTAAAAGCTGGCTTTTTGACTGGTAGTATCCCCAAAAGTAGGCAAAGTAGAAATCTGAGGCTTGAGCCATTTTTCCATCAGCTGTTAATATTTATTAAGTTTTAGTCACCTAGATAGATACATGTGATGGTCATAGACCAAGTTAAATAGGTAGAACTCTGGTATTCTTAGAATTTTTAATCTGAGATAACACTGGTAAGGCCACAAACAAAATGACTAACCAAACTCATTAATATGTAAATATTTATTAATGGAAGCTCTAGTTTATAAGCTAAGGGAAGAATTATTGTTAAGAATTTTTACTTTCACTTAAATACAGAAATTATCTTAGATATGTTTAAGATTTTTTTGTTGGAATGAAATGAGAATCATGGATGCTACAAAATTAATAATAAAGGCATAGTGAAAAGCTCATTAAGTATACATTGGAAAATGTAAGGACTTTACTGTCTAAGGTATGATTTGAAAGAAGTGGTACCTGATTTTGCATGTTAAGAAAAGGTATGATGTGGTCATACTGATGAATAATAAAGGCACTAATATGTTTTTTTTTGTTTGTTTGTTTTGTTTTGTTTTTTTCATTTTTCTTTTATTGTTCATATGTGCATACAAGGCTTGGTTCATTTCTCCCCCCTGCCCCCACCCCCTCCCTTACCACCCACTCCACCCCCTCCCTCTCCCCCCCCTCAATACCCAGCAGAAACTATTTTGCCCTTATCTCTAATTTTGTTGTAGAGAGAGTATAAGCAATAATAGGAAGGAACAAAGGGTTTTGCTGGTTGAGATAAGGATAGCTATACAGGGCCTTGACTCACATTGATTTCCTGTGCGTGGGTGTTACCTTCTAGGTTAATTCTTTTTGATCTAACCTTTTCTCTAGTTCCTGAGAACTAGAGGCCTATTGGCCTCAGTTGCTTTTAAGGTATCTGCTTTAGTTTCTCTGCGTTAAGGGCAACAAATGCTAGCTAGTTTTTTAGGTGTCTTACCTATCCTCACCCCTCCCTTGTGTGCTCTCGCTTTTATCATGTGCTCATAGTCCAATCCCCTTGTTGTGTTTGCCCTTGATCTAATGTCCACATATGAGGGAGAACATACGATTTTTGGTCTTTTGGGCCAGGCTAACCTCACTCAGAATGATGTTCTCCAATTCCATCCATTTACCAGCGAATGACAACATTTCGTTCTTCTTCATGGCTGCATAAAATTCCATTGTGTATAGATACCACATTTTCTTAATCCATTCGTCAGAGGCACTAATATGTTAATAAAAGTTCTACCATAGAGGTGGGAAAAGGAAGTAGTTAATATGTTTTTGACAGTGAATTCTGAGAGGATCTTCAAAATCCCCTTACAACCACAACATACTTAAATTTTAACAAAATCTTTTTGCCAACAATTTGGAGCTTTTGATAAACACTATAGAATCTGCACAGTGGAACATACGTAGATGATCAAGAAAGGGTCCTGTTTGAGAGGAACCTCCCATTTCTGGGGTAGGATACTGACATTTATGTGAAGAACTATAACACCAAGCAGACCACAGTAAATTCCCTGGTGTATAAAGAAAGGTGCAATTCTAGTGAGAAGACAGAGTTGAAAGTGAGTAGCTTCAAGTAAGGATGTTAGGGAACACTTCAAAAAGTAGATGTCATATGCGTTGAGCCTTGAAAGGTGGATTAGAATTTTAACAATCAGGAAAGATTGTTTGAGTCTGAGGGACCACTGTTACAAAAGACTTGGAAGCAAGAATATACCTCTTATATTAGAAGAATGGTGAGTAGCCTGTTGTGACTGGATGACATAATAGGAGATTTGAAAAGTAATTATGCAGCTGGGTCATATAGGATATCAGATATCATGCTAAAGAACAGGGTTCTATAATAATGAGGAAGCACTAGAATTTAAAAATAATACATATGTTCTAATCTTTGTAATTATTTGTTAGACTGTTATGTGCCCAACTGTTGAAGGCTTGTATAGTTCTTTCATGAAATTTGTCCCCCTCTTATACTTATCAAAAAATTAAGGATTAAAGAGATAAAATAACTTGTTAAAAGTTACCTAGATAATAATGATTATGTAAAGATGAGTTTCAACCCTATGAATGTTAGAATTTGAAGCTTATGATGTATTCGGACACCACACAGATAGCTATCAGGTGGTGGTGTGAAAAATGAATTGATGGACTCATCTTTTCAAGATATTGCATAGGAAGAGACTTATGTTATGGTAGAAGAATGGAAAGGAACTAACAGGATATTGGAGACTTGACAAAAAAAATCAGTTAGCTGGGAAAAAATGAGAGATTTCCGTGTTTCTAATTTTGTTTGTTGGAATATAAGCCATGTCATTAACTAGTACTGAGAGAGAGAAGCTCTACAACCAGTCTGTTGAGAAATGAGAGAAAATTAGAAGCCTCTCCCCCACTTCAGTGCATCTTTCTAGAACTGTGACTGCACATAAAAATTAATTCTTTACATTTGGAATGGGAGGCCCTGGGGCCTATTTAGGAATCTATGTTTTTTATCATCTTGAGAAATCCTGGTATCTCTGAATCACACTTCAGGAAGCAGTTCTTGAAGAACAGTGAAAGTGTGGTTGTGGTTTTATTTTTGTTTGGCATAAATTTGCCTGTTCCATTAGTCTTTATAATTTTCATCTCTCTTGCTCAATCTTTTTTTTTTCCCTTTGGTAGTCTTGGGTTGAAATGAGTGGTTGATATATTGATGTAGAGTCCTGACTTGTTATTTTAAATATGACATACTTTACAATCCTAATATGGGATTCAGTGTGTCATGTTTCTATGAAGAAAAATTTTATGCCTACAAAAAAATGTGTCCCTGAATTTTTTCCCAATTTATTCAAAGTTCTTTATGGTTTTGCTTAATACCTTCAAGTATATCTAGTCCATTTTCTTTTTGATATGCAGATTGCTCTAAATTGTATGGTAAAGTTGGCCAAGGGCCGGCCCCATCTTAGCCAGTCAGTGGTTGAAACCTTGCTGACGCAGTTGCATACTGCTCAGGATGCTGCCAGGATCCTCATGTGCCATTGTTTAGCAGCCATTGCTATGCAGCTGCCAGTGCTGGGTGATGGAATGCTTGGTGACCTCATGGAACTCTACAAGGTGATTGGACGATCAGCCACAGACAAACAACAGGAACTTCTGGTAAAGAGCCATATTTTAAACTTGCTGTAAATGCCAGGGTCTGGTCTATTGGAAAGTGTTTTAAGAAGTTAGCAATACTGTTAGATTTTACTTAAAAAACAAAATAAGCAAACAACAGGTTAAAATAATTATCTAAGACCAAAAACATGCTGAAGTAAAAATAAAATTGGTGAGCTGGGGATGTACACAAGGCCCTAGATTTGATCCCCAGTACTACAATTAATAAAAATAAAATAGTACCAGGTGGTTTTTTAACTACAGGTAACATCCCTGGTCCAAAAATCCAACACCCAGACTGCTCAGAAATCCAAAACTTTTTAAGCAGTTTCAGATTTCAGCGTATATCCAATTAGGGATGCTGAACTAGTAAAGGCTATGCTTAAATTTCTAAAATCTGAAATACTTTTGGCCATTAGCATTTTGAATAAAGGGTTCTAAACTTGTCTTTTCATTTGTGATTTAGAAACCATGTTTAGTTCAGATTTAAAACTCCTTTCTTCAACTCTTAAACTCTGTCAAGTCAGCTTATTTTAGCCAAAATCTTTGGTCTTACGTTTTTCTTTTATTAAAAGGGAAAAAATGAAAATGAATTTTCTTTCTTATACAAAGCAAATAAGTAATGACCTTAATTCTGTTTTGTACTTCAGAAAACATAAGTTAAAAATCTTAATGAAGCAGCAATAAGAAGGATAGTGGTTTGAGGCAAAAGTTGCAAAGACCTTGTCTCAAAATGCAAGCTAGGCATGGTGGTGTTTGCCCATAATACCAGCTACCTGGAAGATGGAGGTAGAAAGATAACTGTCATAGGCTGCCCCTAAGCAAAAACTTAAGAGTCTGTATGAAAAAGCAAAAGGGCTGAGGTGTTGCTTAAGTGGTAGATCCTTGCCTAGCAAATATGAAGCCCTGAGCTTAAATCCCAGTATTGCCAATAAATAAAATTACATAAAAAGTATATAATGACCACAAATTATACCGAATTCCTATTTTCTATTACAGGACCTCTGTGACTGTTGATGATTCAATTTAGGCTTATGTAGACTCTTAGGGTTAAGAAAGTGAATGCTTAGCAAGAAATGAGCTGTGGAGTCTATAAAATAATGTGTAGTTGACAATTCCCCAAGAATGGGCATAAGCTACACTCCAAGCAGTCATAAATTAAGTAACAGCTATGATGGCTATCCTATGTTGTTACTGTTCATCTGAATTGAGAGCTTGGGACAAAGTATAACGAGCGTACTTACGGAGACCTGTTTTAAATTTTATCCTCCTGGGGGCATTGTGCAAAAGATTGACACCCCCTCATCATTTGCTGTCAGGAAAGGTTACCTTGATGAGTGACAGAGGTCATGTTAATGATATCATACAGTTACTATAATAGGTGTGGATCTTTGTATGTATCAAAAATCTTAGGTAATTAGCCAAGTTTATTTGTTATTGAAGTGGCATTTTAAATTAATGTTCTTTATCCCTTTTTTTGGAGGTACTGGGGTTCAAACTGAGGATCTCAAGCTGCACTACCACTTGAGCCACTCCATCAGCCCTCCCTTTTTATTAGTGCTACTTATAAGTACTAAGGCAGTTTTTAATTATGAAATACAATATTCAAAAAATATAAGGAATAATACAATAAAAATTCATCTTTCACCTAGCTTAAGAAAAAAGTATTTCCAATGTAGTTGAAACCCCCTATGTACCTCTCTAATTGTTATCTCCTTCCCTCCCCCAGAGTAAACAACCATCCTGAATATGGTATTTATCATTCCCTTGCATGCTATACTTCTATGACCTAAGTATATATCCCTGCGTTATATGCTGTATTACTTTGCACATTTTGGCTTTTTATAGATGTTTATGCTGTGCCATCTATCTCAATACTTCTAGTTTATCCATTTCACTGTTGTATAGTATCATTATGTGACTATGTCATAGTTTGTCTTTATGGGCATTGTTTATATAATTATTTGCTTTTATAAGCAATGCTCTGAGTCAATGCAATAATGATTTCAAATGAGAAATTATATGTCAGTGGAAAACAAACTTTGTTCTTTTTTTTTTTTTTTGGTGAGCCGTAATTCATTTCTCTTCCTTTTGGGTAAGTTATCTGACATTACATGATTTTCTTTCTTCTTGCCCAATGTTAGGTGAGTTTGGCTACTGTGATTTTTGTAGCCAGCCAGAAGGCATTATCTGCTGAAGTAAAGGCAGTAATTAAGCAGCAGCTTGAAAGTGTCTCCAATGGATGGACTGTGTATCGTATTGCCAGACAGGCTTCCAGAATGGTATGTATTTGCCTTTTGGTGACCAGGTTCATGAAAATGTCAGATCATACCCCTTATATTTTGGGATTATTAGTCATAATAAAAAACAAAAAAGATGGAAGTTTTTGTTACTCATGGGTTCTAAGAATGATGGAGGAAAGGACCTGATTTTTAACTTTTCTTGTAAAAGAATGGCATTATCTGTTATCAGTATTATGAGAAAGTGAAAGTGTGAGCTGTCTGGCTATAAATTGTTAGTACCACTTTCACTCTGCTCTGTATTATTGTAACCAAGGCCACCTCCCACCTGACATTTCTGTCATTTAAATCTTTTTTTGAGGAAAGTTTTAGTGTGCTGTATACTTGTCTGCCATATGGAAACAGCCAACAATTTTTGTTAACTTTCTTAGAGAAGAAATCCAAACCTTGGGAAGTACAGAAATCCTGTGGGGATAAGTCCACGGAACAAAGTTTGAGAAGTGCTATTCTAGGTTATTGAAACATATTCTCTGTTTCATTGTGTTTCTCAAGTGGAGTGGGGGGGCATTATTGACAGGACAAGTCTTCATTACAACACACTACACCAAGTATCCAGGCATTGCAGGACATTCAACTTCCCTGGGCCCCAGGTATCAAGTAGCACTCAACATTCCCCCAACAACTACCTACCCCCTTGCGTTCCCTTCATCCTACTAAAAACTCATTCAGAATGATGCACAAGAAGTATTTATTCTTATTTTAGACTAAAATGCTAGACTTGGGTTCTAGTTAATTCTATTTATTTTCTCTTTGGAACTGTTTTAGTGAGGAACATAGGCACTGTGTTACATAAAAGCAGCTCAGCATATTTCTCTGAAGAGATATTTCAACTGAGTCTCAAAAAATTATGTAATATGAGGAGTGACTGTTCAAACTTATCCAGAGTTTGAGTTTGACTTTTATTTGCTACATCAATTCTTTCAAATGTAAGAACCTCACCACATTCCCTTTCTATTTCTGTTTTTTGTTTTTTAGGGTAATCATGACATGGCCAGAGAGCTTTATCAAAGTTTGCTGACTCAGGTTGCCTCAGAACACTTCTACTTCTGGCTGAATAGTTTGAAGGAGTTCTCACATGCAGAACAATGTCTCACCGGGTTGCAAGAAGAGAATTATAGTTCAGCACTTTCTTGCATTGCTGAGTCTTTAAAATTCTACCACAAAGGGATTGCTTCCTTAACAGTAAGTTCTTTTAAACACTTTTTTTTGTTTTTTTTTCCTCGTACTGGTGTTTGAACTCAGGGCCTTGCTCTTGCCAGGCAGGCTATCACTTAAGCCACATCCTCAGCCTTAACAGTAAGTCCTCTTAATTCTCCCTTGGTGGTTATGTTTGTGTGAGAATTCTCTCCCTTTTCTTTTTGGGTTATCCCATTTAAACTACTTGACAAACTCAAGGTTTGATATTTAGCAATGGCAAAAAGTAATAGAAATAAACCTTAACTGTTTCTACTTTTTAACATGTATAGGTCCTTGAAAGTTTGCTTTTTTGTTTATATAAAGCTCAGGGAACCATATGTGAAGAAGATTGCTGAATCCATGCAGAAAGGGCAAGTGATGTAGAGACAGAATCCTTCTCCACACTCCCATCTGGGCCTGGCCCAGGGCCATGATCAAACATCAACCTCTGACCTCATCTCATACCTGGCTGCTACTCACTAAGTCAGTAGAGTTTCTTGCTTTTTCTTTTTTTTCCCTTCTTCCGTAGTCCTGGGTATTGAACTCAGAACCCAGGAGGACCTTGTGCATACTAATGAAGCACTCTCCCCCCATGCTACTTTCCCAGCAAATTTCTTGCTTTATAAAGAAAGAAGAAATTATCAAAGATTCTAGTGTGCTGCTTTTTGCTCCTCTGTGATATCCAGGTTAACAACCAGCCACCTACAATTCTTATTTCCTCTACCAAGAAAGTGAAAGAGTTACACAAGGGAGATTCTTTAGCATTTCTTTTTATTACTATTATTATTATTGTTGTGCCAGATGTGGGTACATTGAATCTTTCTTATTTTTAAAACTTTTTACTAATTTTTTAAAGTTAGTCATATTTCTAAGTAAGTACCTATTCCCTAAAAAACCAGCTTTTTCTACATTAATGTGTAAGAGCTTTTTCCCCTATAAGTAGAGGTTGTATAATCAACATTAAACTTTTTTTTTTGGCAGTACTTAGATTGAACCCAGCGCCTCATGCGTGCGCAACATAAATACTCAATCACTGAGCTGCATCCCCAGCCATAACATTAAACAGTTTTAAAGTATTGTGACACAACTTTAAGAATTGAATATATTGAGATGGGACTATAAAACTTTTAGTACCTGTTTACATAGTTTTATAACATACCTAAAATATTTTTAATTGTGGGTCATCCCAAAAGTATTGCTTCAAAGTAAAACAAAGAATAAATAGATGTCACAAAAGAAATGATATTCATTTGTGGGGCACACATATTTTTAATCAGTTCTTACAAGAATTGATTGACACCTATTTAAAAGGGTGTCAAATAGGCAGAAAGACTCCTCTCCCTTTTTTTGGTGGTGCTAGGGACCACACGCCATTGTAAGCTCATACTCCATCATAGAGCTACACTTCCAACCCTCCTCTCCATTTTAAAGCATAACATTGACTGCCTGGGTCCTTTCTCTTGATTTTGGGAAAGGTCGTTATTGTATATTTTAGGCTAATAAATGCTGCAGAAGATTTAAAAGTGGATCTGATTGGTTCAAATCAATAAAATTATTTTATTTTCTAGTTTATGTGGAGCAGAAAATTATATTTCTATATAGTATTTATATAGTATTTAACCATTTAGTATAATAAATGGTTAAAACTTATGCAGATTATTCCCAAGTGAAGCAGATGGAATTAATTTTATGAAAACTGTTGAATATTTGGTACTCTTTTCTTTTGTTTAGTATCTATATTTAATGAGGCTTGGCAGTAATTAAGGACTGATTTCTGACAGGAAGAAGGTACTTCACTGACAGATTAGCTACTAAGACTTGGTCTCAGTTCTGCTGTTAATTCAGTGTGACCTGAGGAAGATCACTGGGCCTCAAGTTTTCTCCTTTTGAAATACAGTTCTTTTATTCAGCAGATCATAAGAACTTGCTATGTACCAAACATTGTGCTTTGAGGATTTCAGAAAAGAAAGAGAAACAGGAACCATGCACAGTGGCATGCCACTGTTGTCCTAGCCACTCGAGAGGCTGAGGTGAGAGTATCATTGGAGGTCAGCCTGGGAGACACAGTGAGACCGCGTCTCACAAAAACAAAGCAGGAAACTGTCATCCACTTGAGAGTAGTCTAGAGTGGAAGGCAGTGTTATCCTTACAGTCCTTTGGAAATTTACGAGATTTTTTTGAGGCTTTTGTTTAATCTGTTCACTTGGCAAGTATAGACTTGAAAGTAGCTTTCTGTTGAACTGCATGGATATGAGTATGGACTATCTCTGTAGTTCCTGGTGTAAATTATCTCTACCTGAGATTGTACAGTTCAGAGGATCATGCTTGTCACCTGCTGCAGCTCTACTTAACAGAAGTTCAAGATTCTGCACAAAGGGGACCCCACAGCAGCACTGGTGTTTAATTTCCCAATATAATGATTCAATGGAGTTGCTTCTTTGAAATAATAATTGTAAAAGTGTTTGGGAACTAGGCCTTGCATCAGTGGTAGATCACTTGCCTAGCAATATGCACAGCTCTGGAAAAAATAATAAATAAAAAATATGGGAAAACATAATAAAGTGGTCTGACCCATTAAAGCAGAGTAGAGTGATGGTTGCCAGGGTCTTAGGAGGGAGGAAAGGGGAATTATGAGTATAGAGTTTCAAATGAAAAGGTTCTAGAGACCTCTTTTACAACAATGAATTTAATAATACGTAGTAGTGAATATATTTAGTGGATATTTATATATTTAGTATCCCAGTAAATATATAATATAGTACATATATATATATATAAAATATCGAATGACAGTTTTCATGTTATGTGTATTTTATACACACACATACATATACATACATTTCTTTTTCAGTGAGCTTATCAGGTATCTTTCTTTTCAGCCTCATTGGTTTCTTTAGCTAGCCCCATTAGAAAATTGAGATCAGAAATTTAGTAAAGTTGCCTCACATGCATGTTTAACACAAATTTAACTCCTCATGTTTAACAAAAAGGAAAAAGAGCAAAAACAATTTAAATTATGGATGGAAAAAGATAGTCATTTAAGTTGTGGGGACAGTTTTGCTGGCCATTCATCAAAACCTGGAATGAGCATTGGAAGAAGCTCATTGTTTCTTCACCTTGCTTTGTTGAGCTAACAGGAAATATTTAGTTCCTAAGGAATGTTTTGGGGTAATTTTGACTATTCACGATGTTTTCTATATCTACTAACCTTAGAATCCAACCTGTGGTTAAGCTTTAGCCCCAATGTAAAGAAAAATAAATGATATATTTTATTTCTCCTTGATATTATTAATACTAATATAGTCTAAATTTTATTTCTGTACATCTCCCATCTTTCTTGGATAATATTTGATCTTTATGAAAAAAATCTTTTTTCTATGTTCTTTTTAAACATGTGTTTTATATCTAACATTCTTTTCCATCAGAATAGCATGAACAAAGATGGCATAATCACTTTCAAGGTTAAAATCTGTTATCAGTCAAATATTTATTGTTATTTGTAAATAAATCCAGTTGTAGCAGCAGTTCTCTCTCATAACTACTTCTTGCTTCTCTTTCAGTTTTATAATGCATGTTAGAACAATATTGCCAATATGTTTTGTCTGGTAAGATGGTCTGCACTGTATTTATATAACCGTATCATATGCACTTACTTGTATCCTTGCCTCTTCTGAAGTTGTTGACAGGGAGTATATTAAAAATAGCAAGTAACAGCTAACAGTACAAAGAAGGTGGAGGGAACATACCTTTCTACAGGAGCATAACAGATTCATCTTATTAAGTAAAAACAACTGAAATGTTCTCTTTAATACGTTAATATTTGCTATTTCATAATTAGAGCAACATACTCCAAAGGTTAAAAAAACACAAGTAAATATATGGAATATAGTTATTACCTCTACATTATATAAAATATTTCATCAAGGAATTTGCAGTTTAAGAGGATATTAGGCAAGGTACATTCTTATTAAGAACATAGGGAGTAGCTCCTTAACTTACAGAGTAAAACACGAATGGTACCCCACAGTATACCTTACCATTTGATGCTTAATAGTAGTGAGAACTACACTAAGGTCAGTGCAAGGTACTTGTACAGATGGGTCACATGCCTGGATCTCCTGCTAAAAAGAATAGTGTGAGACAGTATCTAAGAAACATCAGCATGTTTTAAGCCAGTCATGTCATAGAGGAAAATTAATGTCACCAGGCTTCCATTTATTGTTAAACTAGCATATTTTTAGTATGTGCCTTTTGTTAAAAACAGTGCTGGGTTCTCAACTAGGACAGTTGCTAAGTAGTTGAAGGTTCTCTTAGTTCTCTGCCCATGCTGGTTTGACTTACCATTCTTTCCCTCCTCTACTTGACTAATGCTGCTATTTACTACCCAAGACTTTCCCCTCATACCTCTCCCGACTTCATAGAAATTTGTGTGCAATTACCTATTCTTTGGTGTTTGCTGTGCTTTCAAAGTATCTACTCACAAACTTTTTAATTAATCTGGGCTAGAAGGCAGCTTTGAGGCATTGTGCCTTTTTTTAAAATAGTGACTATCTAGAGACATTTGTCCTGCTTGTATCTTCCTCTTCTTGTCCAGGTTTTCAAGACATTATTAATAGATTTAGTATTGGGAATTTCAGATTAGAAAGTAGGAAAGTAATAACAGGGATTTGTGGAAATGGTGATGTCCTTCAAGCATCTCTGAGATAACTTACTGATCATGATCTATCAACTGACATGTTGTGGAGTCTTTGTGAATGCAGGAAGTAAACCTTTGAATGACAATGGAACATACAGTTTTTCAGCGCTCATGCTGATAACAGTAGGTTTTTCTTTCTAATATTTCTTATAATTTAGGTATTTATCTATAAGTGTTGTAACTACTGCACTTGTGCATAAAGTATGACAAATACAGTCCTTCCTCGATATCGGGTTTGGGGGGGTTCCAAGACACACACACACACACACACACACACACACTCACTCTTGCACTCACTCAAGTCCTTTGTATAAAATGATATACAGCATTTGCATATAACCGGTGCAATCTTTTCATACTTTAAATCATTCCTAGATTATTTATAATATCTAGTACAGTGTAAATGCCATCTGAATAGTAGTTGTACTATGTCATTTAAGGAACAAAGACAAGAAAAATAGTCTGTACATGTTCAGTACAAATGCAGGTTTGGGTTTTTTTCCTGAATGTTTTTGAACCAGGGTTGGTTAAATCCATAGATGCAGAACCCACAGATTCAGATAGAGGGCCAACTATAATTGGTACTGTCCCATCTCCCTATTTGATTTCTCTTTTTTATTCCAGGCTGCCAGTACACCACTGAATCCTTTAAGTTTTCAGTGTGAGTTTGTAAAACTCAGGATTGATCTTCTACAAGCCTTCTCTCAACTTATCTGTACTTGTAATAGCTTGAAGACAAGCCCTCCACCTGCAATTGCCACAACAGTTGCCATGACCTTAGGAAATGACCTTCAGAGGTGTGGTCGAATCTCTAATCAGGCATGTCTTAACTTTCTTTTCAGTGCAGTTTTTATTTATATTTTGAGTTTTTAAAGTTAGTTGTAAAATGAAAAGTTAACATTAAGTTAAAATCAGTGGCTTGACTCAGAATGGTATCAAATGCTTAACTCTTTTTGGTTGATGTGTTCTTGGGACAAAGTGATTGGTGGTGCCTCAGTGGGTACTACATATTTATAGAAAAAGGATGGAATAATATTGTAAAGAAAGTTGAGAATGTTTATATTTGTTATTTTACAAATACAAATTATTCCAATCTTGCAAACATTTATTGTTTCATTTCCCATCTTTGTTGATTTTATTTAAGGAAGTTTATGAAAATGAATCCGATAGCAAGAGTTCAGTTTTTCTTTGAATTTTTATTGTTTGAAGATGGAAATTTTTTTTTTTGTATCATTTGTGGAATAACAATAATATGTTTGTCATAATTGATTTCTTTCCTCCTTTATAGATGAAACAGTCCATGGAAGAATTCCGAAGCCTTGCTTCCAGATATGGTGATCTTTATCAGGCATCTTTTGATGCTGACTCAGCAACTTTGAGGAATGTAGAACTGTATCCTAAACTTACCCCGGTATTTTTTGTTCATTGAGGTTTCATTTTATTTTTTTGTAGTACTGGGGATGAATTCAGGACCTTGCACTTGCTGAACAAGTGCTCTACTACTTGAGCCATACCCCCAAGTCCTTGTTGCATTTAGTTTGCTTTTCAGATATATCCAGCAAACTTTGCTTGGGCTGGCCTCAGACTACGACCTTCCTCCCTCCACCTCTCAGAATATTTGGGATTATAAATGTGCACTACCATGCGTGACCTGGAAGTATTCTTTTAAATGTAGATTAAATATTTCAGATATGCTTAACTACAAAAGCTATATTAGATAACCCCAAGTTTATTGTAATTGATAATTTCCCCTTTGAAATTTAGTATGAACAGAATTATTTTACTTTTTTAACTTAAGCAAGGCCTTCAGTGGAAGTGATGATTTAGTGGTGTTATTTCTCCACCTCCAGGGAGAATGTCCAAAGCCTCAGTCCTGCTGGGCACAGTGCCAGGTGCCTTTTGTGCCAGTTATTCAGGAGACTGAGGCAAGAGATTGCGGTTTCAAAAACAACCACAAAGAAGAGAAACAAAGCCTGAGTCCCACCAGTGTGGCACACCTTGTACTCACATGCTACAAATCACAACACAATACATTTTCCCACCAGAGAACATTTTCTGTTTCACCTCAGCTTGCTTTCTTCTTGGTTACTAGCCCAGATTTTCCTCATCTTTATTAATGATCTGTTCAGTACTTTTAGTCATCACTTTTGTTCCCTAAACACTTTCCACTCCTCCATATTTTCTTATTAAATTCAAGTAATTTTTGGAAGGAGGAAAGAAAAATTATTTTGAAGTTGTACTTTGCAGTCAGTAGTTCTTGGTATTTTGATCACCACTTGAAGCCTGATGAATGCTTTGAACCCTCTACCCTACAAAATGCATATATGCACATACACCCAAAACTTGGTATATAATTTGTGGGGGAGGGTCAATAAACACTTTGAGCCCCAGCTTAGGAACTATCAAGGTAAAGGCGCTATAAATAGTTGGGTTTTTTTTTTTTTTTACATCAATGAAGTTTATTTGTTGTTTGTTTCACATTCTTATGAAGAACTGCTGTATCTAAGATTAAAAGCAAAAGTTTCTGTGAATAAACCACCAGGCATGTTGTCTGGCTTCCCTTCCCACATTGGGCAGCCTCTGAAGTATCCTTCCTGGAACAGAATTTGAGAATCACTAGTGTAGACAGTGTATATCCTTTAAAAGGAAAAGGTAGAGCCCCAGACCATTTGAGTTGATGATAGACATTGTGATTACTTTCACTCAAAGTATAATCTTCATCTTGACTTTAGTATTCAGATAATATAAAATCTGTAGTAGATTTCTGTGTTTTCATGTGTAACTTAACATTAATCTAGACAGCAGCAGAGCTGTTTGCTGATATCTCATGCAATAGAAGCCCTGATTTTGGATCCAGAATCAGCAAGGTAATTATAATAATAGTTTGTATTATAAAATGCTTCTATTTTACTCAATCATCACAAAAGTATTTTGGAAATAAATTGTAGAAGAATAAACAAAAAGGAAGAACTCTTCTAGGTTTTGCCCTAGGTTACCTAACTAGTAAAAGAAAATAAATTTTCTAACTCCACAGGGTACATGGGAACCTCCTACCTTCTGTTCTCAAAACATTGACTTGCAAAAATAACTGGGAAGGAATTCTTTGAATATGAACAATTCCTTGTCTAACTCTGGAAAATTGAATTAATACTACAACTAAGCATGAATTTGAAATTTTTATTCTTGTTTTCCAAACCAAAAGATATTCCTGGTTTTGCTTTATTAACTTCTTCTTCCCTCCCTCAATTACTAATTAATTATTTAAATAATTGTTTTTATTAAAGAATACTGTGGGTTTTTTCCCATGAGCATATTCTATTTTGGAATATGTGTTTTACTATATCTAGTATCACTGAATCTTATAGAGCCTAAGATTCCAAGATCAGCCTCCTCAAGGAGGATGTCATGGAGTTTACATTTCCTACCCTAAAGCACTGGCTCACCATTTCATTTAGGGTAATACTAAGATCTTTGCTATCTATTTTAAAGCACTAGCCACTCAGACTAGGCCACATGGCTGTTTTTTTCCTATTTTTCTAACCTCTGTAGTGCTTTCGTTTGCTTTAATGGAACTTAGAACATAGTACAGAGCTTTGGAGACAGCCAGATAGGGACTTGAATCTGTCACTCAACTGAGCACATATGCGTAAACTGTAAGTAGAGAATAATGCCTGTTTCCCAGAGGACTTGTGAAAATTAAATGAAATAACCTATTTAAAGTGCTTAGCAGAAGTGCCTTGCACATAGTAGGTATTAAAAAGGTGTAAGAGAATAGTTAACAATATTAGGCTCAGCATATTTAAATTACCTACATTGTACTTTCAGATAGCCCTCTTAAAGTTTATTTAGGATTCAAGAGTTCTGCCTTCTTACCTCACTTAGATATTTTCAGAAATTTGGGGTTGGAAGCAGTAGAGAGAAAGGAATGAATCTAGGCAGAGCTTTCCCAGAATGTTCTGAATACCAGCTCTCCCCTGCACATTGCTGTGCCTTCCATTTCCATGCTTCACATTCATCCCATTGCCCCATTCCTGGATGCCCCAGTACTGTCCATCTCTCCATGCCTCGTTTGTCATGCTTCCCTCATTGATTTGTTCGAGATCATTCTCTCTCAGGGCATTCCTCAGTTCTCTCTATATTCTGATTGTTATTTACATTCCTTTATTAGCAGCATGGTACTTATCTGCTTGCTTTATGATAGTTACCTTTTCACATGTCTTCTGTGTCTTTCACCTCATGGCATGACAAATTTAGACATTTTTATACTACCTAACAACCAGAGTTGCTTAAGTATTAACATCATTGAAAGTTAGATCTGGGTTTAAATTCCAGCTTGTCACTTACTAGTTATATGAGTGTAGGCAAATTAACCTCTCCAATGTCAGTTTCCTTATCTGTAAATGGAAATAACTTCATTATTTTAAAAATTAAGTGAGAATGTAGAAGGTGCTTGACAACACATTTAGGCATTGAAAGAATTACTATTTTGGTTAATTAATTGATACTGATATTTATTTCAGTTTCCAGGAATATGGATCTGCTGGAGCAGCCTATGCTGATAGTGAATATGAGAGAAGAATGGTGTCTGTATATAATCATGTCTTGGAAGAGGTGGAGTCACTCAATCGGAAATACACCCCTGTTTCTTATATGGCAAGTAGCATTTGTTGTATTGAGTTTTTGTTATTGCAGAAGTCCCAGGGTTTTGGGGGTTTATTGTTTTTTAATCCATCCCTGGCACTTAACTGTGCTAAACAAGGCTCTCTGTGCCTGTTTTCCATATCTGCAGAACAGAGTTGATATAGTACCTGCCTCATGGCATTGTTGTAAGGATTAAATGAGATGGTCCATGATAGCACTTAGTACATTTCTAGCTGCTGCATAGACACGGTAACATGTAAAATCTACCCTGCCCAAATGCAGGCAAAACCTTTTTTAAAACAGTTACCAGAAGCTGCAATAGTTTTCAACCCTGGCTAGAAATTAGAATTGCTTTGGGAGTTTTTTTTTAAAAATACATCAATATCCATCCTCTTCCCAAGCTAGTTAATGTTGAATATCTGTAAATGCAGTTCAGGCATTGGTAGTCTCTGATTTAGCAGTAGTTTTAACTTAGAATTTTTAAACTTTACAAAACTGGTATGAAAATGATGTATATTTAATAGTGAGTACTCATACAACTATTCTGTTTTTCAATTTCACTATAGTAGTTAATAAATCATATGAAGTATTCAATACTTTATTATAAAGTAGGCTTTGTGTGTTAGATGGTTTTGCCCAAATGTAAGTTAATGTGTTTTGAGCGCTTTTAAGGTAGGCTAGGCTAAATTACGTATAATGTTCAATAGGTTAAATGTATTTTGTGCATTTTTGACTTATAATATTTTCAAGTTACAATGAGTTATGTAAACATAATCCTATCATAAGATGAGGAATATCTGTTCGTAAAAGATTTCAAGTGATTCTGTTGTGCTGCCAGGGTTGAAAACCACTGGCTAATTGAAACAAAGAATGGTAATTATAAATGTTAATTTTCTTTTTCTCTTTCTAAATATATTTCACAGATTTGATATTTTTCATGTCCCCAAAAGCCGTTCAAGCATTTATTAGGTTCTAGGGATAGAAAAATGACACAGACTCAAGACCTTCCCTCAAGTTGTCCATAGTCTAAGAAGGAAAAAAATTTTATAAATAAACACAGTAAAGCACATGTGAATAACAGTTTTGCATAAGGTAGAGATGTAACACAAAAGTGAAAGTGATCTTGTCTAGCATGTGTAAAGCAAAGAAAAGTAATTCATGTCGAAGGATTGGTATAATAAAGTGGGGGTACAATTCAGAGAAATGTCTTCACATCTGAGTTGTCTAGACAGATAAGGAGGGGTAGGGAGTCTAAAGCAGAGAACAATATGTTGAAGAGTAGAGGCATGAAATAGCCTGGTGTCTTCTGAGAACAGCTACTGCTTCAGTGTCGTGTATAGGCAAGGCACAAGAGAGATGAGCCTAGAGAGGTAGGCAGAAGGCATTGAACACAGCATTAAGGAGTTTGTTCTTTATCCTGAAAGCACTGGGGAGCAGTTTGGAAATTTTAAATGGGTGATGGAGAGAAGTTGTTAAGATACAATTATATATTATTATGTAGAGGTAAAACAGGTAATGACTTGGAGAGCATGAAATTAGAGGGAAAATGTGGTTACAGTATTTTTGCTGTAATCTAAAGTAAGGGACAAATTAATAAAATGGCAGTAAGAATGAGAAGAACAGATACATATGAAAGATGTTTAGGGGTTAGAAAGAATATTTTCAAGGCATAGTCTTTGGTTTTCTATTTTAATTAGGTGTTAGCTGATGGAGACATGACTTCCAGATTTCTAGTTTTGAGTGACAGAGTGCACACTTGTTGATCATTTTCTGAGATAGAATAATATGCAGGAGTGGTCAAAGAAGGTGAAAGTTTCATTTTCAAACATTTAGCCATCTTTTAAGCAGTTGGGTAATAAATAGGTCTGGAGTTGGGGGAAAGGGATGGACTGGGATGCAGGTACCACCATGAGCAGAGAGGTTCTTAGTCATGGGGGTAGGAAGCATTGCCTGTGGAGAACCTAGGGATCAGGAACGAAGATGCTGAAGAGAGCTTCAGTGTTTAAGGAACAAAAGAAGAGGGTCTTAGGAAGGAAGGTGGAGAAAGGAAGAATCAGAAAAAAAAGAGAATCAGGACCATTAATTGGAATTTCATGGAAGAGAAGAGCATTGTCACGTACCATAGAAATGTCAGAAAATAGAGACTGAAAAATATCTGTTGGAGATAAGCAGTTAAGAGAATATTAGTCCTCCTGTTAGTTTACTAATCTTAATATCCAAGTTGACATCTTTAAACTGTTTTACCTTTCTGGGTGTGCCCAAGGGTCTAGCAACCTCAGAGGTTAGATGTAATGGATCTGTATCCACTCTTTTAAAAAGCAAAGTGGTGACTTTCTGCCAGGAGACAACATGAAGTCACCTATGGTTCTCTCAGTCCACCCTTTTTAAAATATTCTGTTCTTAAACAATGTGACTTCATAGGTTCCACCACAGGTAAGATGTTTCTACAAATGTTTCTCAGAGCTCTTGACACTGGAAGATAAGTGGTGCTACTTTAGCAGTTAAACCTGAAGAAGTAATATCAGTGGCTTTAAATCTGTGGTTACCTTGAGTAATAAACCTGGCATATTATGAATCTGTTGGGCACAGAATGTTTACCTGCCTGAGACAAATAAGGAATGAGTTTTCTCTGTGTTTTAAAGCCATGTATACAGCACAGAAAAATAGAAATGGCACCCTGCCTAGAAGCAGAAGCTCAGAGGACTGACAGCAGGCTGTCTTGTGCAGTGGTTTTCTTTTCTTTTTAAATTTTATATTTGTCCACTTATTTGAGCCAAGGCACCTAATAGGCAGTGGTTTTCAACCTGTTTATGGCTTGAGGGATGGAAAGGAATAGACCAAGGAGGGTGTAGTAGTCCAAGCCGAATGGTTCTGATTTACCGTGTACCAAAGTGTTCTCATGATGCTTTAAGGGTTTTTTTTCCTATTAGTTTTGTAAATTATTGGTAAAATAGAATAAAATCACTGAAGAGTCAAACAGTGTGGGTTCTGGTCCCATCTTGTTCTTTTACCCATCTATGTGGCCTACATCTAGCTGGGTAATTTTAAAAATTAAAAAAAAAGTTATTTTTAAAATCACCCAGCTAGACACTTTGAACTCTCTTTTTTGAGACAGGCTCTGAACACTGGCCTTGAAATCATGATCCTTTTGTTTCAACCTCCCAAGTACTGGGATTATAGACATGTACCGCCAGGCCTGACCTTGTTTGAATTCTTAAATTGTGTGGCCCCTTTCATTAGGATTCAAAGGATTCACTGTAGTGTTTTTATTCCTCTGTGGTTATGCTAGGGTTTTCAAACTCAGTTAAATGTGTGAAATAGATTGTAGAAATAGGTATTTTATTAAAGCTTCAGAATTCCATAAAAGTGGACCATGTAAGTTATTTTATATCTGAATTCTATTAAATTTGCACTATTGCTTGCTTTAGAGACCCATAACCATTGGGACAAAGAAGCCACCTAGTGGAGATAAGATGTAAGAATGAGCCAGCTCAGAGCCAAGGTTCTGCATGGAATCTAGTGTCAGGATTCAGATGACTTCTTTACCATGCTCTTTGTCATACTCTGTACTAAGATTCTATATCTTAGTATGTAAAATAACTGTATAATGCTATGTTTAGTTGCTCTAAGCTTTGCAGAAATGTGAAATTTGCCTAACGCTTGGCCTAGAAGAATGTCAGTTTTCTCCCTTCTGCCATTTATTTTTATTGAACATAGTTCAAGATAAAGTTAAAATCTATAATTGTACTTCTTGTCGTGAGTGAGGACTCACTGTACATAGTGAATGTTTGTTGCACCTGTTTGTGGACAGGTGTGTATTTTTGTTGATGAAACTTGAAAACTTATTTTCAATTGATTTAGTTTCTTTTTCTTCCCCTCAGCATACAGCATGCCTCTGCAATGCCATCATTGCTTTGCTGAAAGTACCCCTTTCATTCCAGAGATATTTTTTCCAGAAACTGCAGTCTACCAGCATCAAGGTAAGGTAGAAAGAATTCTAAGGTTAATAAAGGTTAAAAAACCCAGCTATCTTCTGAAGATTACATGAAACATAGCTACACTGCAGTATCTTAACTTTGGTTTTGATAAAATTTTTAACTTTTTCTTCCCTGTATCAAGTGATTTGGTGAAGGGAATGGTATTTGAGAGTTAAACCCTCTTCCTGTTTAACTGTCAGTGCCAGATTCAAGGAGATGTGTATTGTCTCTTACGTCCAGGAGTAAGTTAGTGGTCTTTATCATAGTTATCTGCAATTTACCTGAGTCTTGTCTGACCAGCCTGTTCAGACCCAACATAGGTTCAGTAAAACATCACCAGTACTACCTTCAATGCACTTTTGCCTTTGAATGACAAGTTTTGGGGACCTTGCCAATGGGTAGAGTTAGTATTTTGAAATATTTAAACCACTCAAAATTCAAAAGTGCCTGGTGTGTTGGTGCTAGCCTATAATCCCAGCTATTTAAGAGATGGAGATAGGAGGATTGAGATTTGAGGCCAGACTGGGCAAAAAGTTACCAAGACCCTATCTCAAAAACAAGCTGGGTGAGATGGTACGTGTCTGAAATCTCAGTTACTCAGGAGGTGGAGGTAGGAAGATGACAGTTCAAAGTCAGCCCAAGCAAAAGCACAAGAAGACCCTGTATGAAAAACACAACTAAAGAAAAAGCAAAAGGACTAGGGACTATGGTTCAAGTAGCAAAGCACTTAAGACCCTACACCACCAAAAAAGAAAAAAAAAAATTAAAAAGCTGCTTTTGATTCAAAGAATGTAATTATTGGGAAGAGTAGATTACACCTCTGAGAAATTTTCTAGATTATCCCTGTCACTTGATGTCTTCAGTGAACTTTTACACCCATTCAAATGCTTTTGATTGCAAGTAACAGCATTCCATTTCAAAATGACCTAAATAATCAGGAAAACTGGTTATCTTAGAATTCCTAAGGCAGGTTGACTCCAGGTTTGATTAGTTCAGTGGCTCAACAACATTTTCAGAAAATTCAAGTTTCTTCCATCTTTTCACTTAGCAGGACCTCAGCTCTCTGCACTTGAAGTGTATGTGGGATTTTAAATATGTTTTAAAAGAAAAATTAATGAGAGATTAAAACTGTTATTTGCTTATCATACACAAGTCCCTGGGTGCAATCCCATCACCAAAGGAAAAAATGTTACTTGGTTCATTTGTGGAAGTTGACTTTTATATCATAATGACTTCTTTGTGCAAGTAGTCCTGGATTAAGTCCATTTGCATTTGAATTTAGTCTATTTAAAATTACCTAAGAGCAAAGAGACAGTATCTGGACATTAAAATTTGTAGTATATTTCACTACTGGAAATGGTTTGTCATCAAAAAAAAAAAAAATGCCCTGCCACAAACATTGGGAGAATAGTGCCTTTGCAGGTCTCTAATCCTGTTATTTTCAAACAAAACTCAGATTTGGGATGAAAAGCATGGTGTATTTAAAAGGAGCAAAAGGCATGAGGAAGCTTGGCTTTGAAGGCCTTCTGCCTGACTAGCCCAGCATCAGGTCCCGGGAGGAATGGGATGCTATATGAATGTTAGCCTGTTCCAGTAGTTGAGCAGTGGTTTGTTTATCAGAAAGAAGGTTGCTCTGGGTTGTTGGTATTTACTATAATGTTTGCATTCCAGCTTGCTCTGTCACCATCCCCCCGGAACCCTGCAGAGCCCATTGCTGTACAGAATAACCAGCAGCTGGCGCTGAAAGTAGAGGGAGTGGTTCAGCATGGATCTAAACCAGGACTCTTTCGCAAAATTCAGTCTGTCTGTCTGAATGTTTCTTCAACACTACAGAGTAAATCCGGACAAGACTACAAGGTAATTTAGAAAAGAGGCAGAATTGTGCTGCAGATTTTGCCAACTTGATGATGGAAGTTTGCCAGTGTTTTTTGTGTTTAAACAGATTGCAATTATATATCTAAAATGATCAGATGAACATAAAAAACTTATTGGGGTTTGAGGAGACTTGTTAACCAATACTTCTCTTTTCTGTGCCTGAACCAGTTAATAGACAAAGCATCCAGGCAGACAGGAATCAAAATGTAATTTTGATTACTGTTAGAGCTGTGGGTGCCTGGCAGCAAGAACTTGCTACCCTTGTGCCTCTGATTCAATTTTCTCACCCTCTCCCCCAACCACCCGGCCTAGTGCATGTGAAAGAGTTGCCCATGTAAAACTCTCTGCCAAAAAAATCGCAGGGAAGAATGCCCTGTTGCTTAAAGAAGGTGCTTAGCTCTCTATGCCTGGTTCATGCCCTGAAACTTAGCAGTCAGTAAGACACCCACCTCTCTTCTTGGAGGCCAGCACAGTTAATTTAATGAAGGCTTCCTCTACATGGAGTAGTATTATCTATATATGTAGCATTATCATACAGGTCAGATAAGGCAAAATATTCCCTTAAGAGTATAACCCTAGGAATTTGCTGCTTTGAGAAGTCATGACGTAGGTTTTACCAAAATCAGGTTTATGTTGGTAGCCAGCACTAGGGTACTTGTAGGTGCCTTTGAGATATCGGTGCCCCTTTTTTTAAGACATTTCTTTCTAGTTCCTTAGTGGCTTATCTACAGTATGTGAATCAAGGGAACAAGTCTACATTTGTACTAGCAGAGTTGTTCAAATGCCCAGACAGTTGTATCCAGGTTTAATGTGGTAGTTTGAACTAAATCCCCATAGCAAGGAAAAGGGAGAGGTATCACTAAAGATATAAAAAGAGCATTTTGTTTTCTTTCATGGTTTTAGGCTACAAAGCCAAGGGAAGGACTCCTTTAAGCCATATTACTTTCTTCTCTTTAGTGACTTCCTCTCACTCTGGCTCTTTTCAACCTTGATAAAGTTCAGCCTGCTTTCTCTTCTCTTCCTCATTTGATTCATGACACAAAGCATAGCGCCTTTATGTAGCCACTCAGTAAATATTTGGCATATAACGAAAAAAATCACTTACTGTATGTGCCATATTGGAGTATGCCTATTATAGTTGAGTAATCTCAGATGTCACAGATTATGATGAGAATTCATGTGTTTTATCCCAATTGGCATTTCTCTTCTTATTTTGAATTTGAAAGGACAGTAACTGTGAACCTCTGTGTTCCTTATATATAATAATTTCCTCTGTTAAGAAAAAAAAATTCATTCCTAGAAGCACTGTTTGTTCACTTCTCAAGAGGCATTGATTAAAGTCAGGAAGCAGACATAATAACAAGTTGTGTAGTACACGTACTTTGGCAGTGTCAATCCAGTGAGTTTGCAACTTGACAATGTAGCCATCCAGTCAAGATGAGCAGATTGCCTCGGCCTATTTCTGGTCCTTTTAAGGAAATTCTTTGGTAGGCCTATTTTCTAGGAAAATAAAAACCCTCAAAGGTTGAATGTCTCTCATGACATTCATGGTAACTACTCATTGGGACAGAAAGCTGCAGGGCACTGTTACATATAGTTACAGCACAGAGACACACATATAAACATGGAGCAGTCTGGTCAGACATCCATTAAGATCACCTTTATATCTGTGCTCAGACTAAGTCTGTCTCTGGCTATGCTTTATCTTGAGTGCAGGTATGGGTACACCAGCAGATAATGTCCTCTTCTTTGAAGGACAAAATCATGAGTGTCTGGCTAAATAAATGAATGAGCCCATATATTGTGTTCTATAACATACTATCAGTCTGAATGATAAACTTACTGAGTTAGGAATGAACTTGTCCAAGCTCTAAAGTTAATTTGTTAAAGAGTAAAGAATCATTGCATTACCTCAGTAATATAAAAAATCAGGTTAACTAAGTGGGGATTGGGGGAAACCTAATAGCTCAGTGTTACGCTATTTTTTCATCTCTTAGATTTCAAGCTCCCTGAAACAGGTGGTGTGTCCTGTTTCTTCAGATTGTCTCTCTACAAACTAAAGAAAGATGAGGGTTGGGAGATGGGGTGGAGAGAGCATGGAGGTAGGCCAGCATATGAGAGAGTTGAAAAGCAACCTCGTTATGCTCACAGAGCATGAGTGGCAGTGTCAATTAATAGTTGAGAGGGTGCCCTGGACTTAGCCTGCCTGAGTGTACATTCCAGCTCTGCCTCAGTAGCCATATGACCTTAGAGAACCTACTTAACCTCTCTGCCTTAGCATCTTCATCTGAAAAGCAAGGGTAATAATCGCACCTACCTCTTGGTTGTTTGCAAGGACTAACCAAGCACCTAGAACGGCCTGGCTCATAGCAAGCACTGAAGAAACGTAGCTGCTGTTATTTAACAATTCTTTCATTCCAGATACCTATTGATAATATGACCAATGAGATGGAGCAGAGGGTTGAGCCTCATAATGATTACTTCAGTACTCAGTTTCTGTTGAACTTTGCTATCCTTGGAACACACAACATTACAGTGGAGTCCTCAGTGAAAGACGCCAACGGCATCGTATGGAAGACTGGCCCCAGAACTACCATATTTGTCAAATCCCTGGAAGACCCTTACTCCCAGCAGATTCGCCTACAACAGCAGCAAGTTCAGCAGCCATTACAACAGCAACAGCAGCAGCAGCGCAATGCCTACACTAGGTTTTAGCATGCTGTGAGTGTACTACAGACTTCCAAGGGATTTATCCAGTTGGCAAAAGGGTTTGCTTTTTCATATTCATTAAGTATGAAACTATATGAGTTCATTTATTCATTGGTTTCTGTAATGTAACATTCTAAAAACTTTTTTCCCATAAAATTTTAGTTTGAGAAATAATTAGGTTCCTAGACAGAAAGATTTTATTTTCTTGGTCCTTCTTAAACCAAGTCCATTGTCTCATATTTAACATTTTTGTTGTTTTATTATTTTTGTCATCCTGAGTTTTTTTCTTTCTTCTTTCAAGAACAGTTAAGTATTAGGACAATTGGATTAGTAAATATGACTGCTTCTCTACCAAAATACATTGTTTGCTGCCTGACAAAAATCTCAGTAGAAACTGAGTTCTTCCATAGATGGACTTGAAAGTGTCTCCATGTCTTCTTACTGTCTGGATTATGAGAGCTGGTAGTATAACAGGTTGAAACATCCTTGTGTATTATTTCAACCAACCTGTCTCTTCCTGTGCTTAAACAATCTTAATTTATTGTTTTGCTATTTAATTCACTCAAAGAGCAGCTAGTAATTACGTAGGAAAATTGGAAAATAATTTTTTTTCTGGTAAGTGTGTGACTGTATAGTACAGACTTTTTACATTGTTTCTAAAACTTAAGAACAGTCCCATTTAACATGTTAATGTTTTAAGTTAAAGGGGACAGATCTTTCCCTTCAGTTGGTTTGGTTTCTACTTGACAAGTTATGTAAACACTAGACTTGATTGTCTAGAAAGAGTAGTCTCTTTATAACACAACCTCAGTTAGTTGGGATGCTCAGGGAATAGAGTTTTCTGGTTAGCCAGAACTTCTCCCCCATTTTTTTTTTTTCTATTTCAATATGACTTGAAAAACATAGAATAATATACTTTCTTTTCTTAACAGTATACTAGGTATAATTTAGCTGTTTCTTGATTTGAGATCATTTAATGCTTCAAGATCATGATTTCTGAAAGACATCAGAGGTGTTTAGAATTGGTTTAGGATTGCAGATAGTAATCAGTTGGGCTAGATGCAGTTCCCACCATGAAGAGAGCATGATCCCTGCAATTTCCCTTTTTAAATAAATCTCTCAAATTCTTTGCTTGTGTTTTATCTTTTTCCTGTCAAAGTCACGTTTGATTCAGAGGAGGTTTAGAAATTAAGTTTTTATTGTTGTTGTTGTTTTGGGGTGTTTTTATTTTGTTTTGATTTTGGTGATACTAAGGTTTGAACTCAGGGACTTACACTTGCTAGGCAGGTGCTCTACCACTTGAGCCACTCTGCCAGCCCTTGTTTCTGTTTTCAACCTGTTATATGTCTCTGGGAATGAGAAGTGTTGGTAACTCTGATCACTCCAGATCAAGACCACATGACTTGATGAGCTGCCCCATCGTAACACATTCTGTTGCTAACAGACATCTTGATAAGCATGTAAACTCCATAGTGTCCATGTAAATGACATCTGTTTAGATACAACCCATTGTGCAGAGTGTACAGTCTGCACAGTTGTGTAAGCATCTGAGAACATATGCCTTGGGTGAAACTGCCAGAGCGATTCAGAGAACATGTGCAGAACCCTTTGTCCTTTACTGGGCGTAGAAAGAGCTGAATCAGAAAGCCTGGATGCCACCTTTGGCTCTGATAAGTTAGCTCTGACCTAGGGCAAGTCATTTTACCTAGACCTTTGTTTTTTGAAAAATGACTTAGAGTTTTACTATTGGGTGACAGACAGAAAAGCTAAGAATGAAGCTGGGTGCCAGTGGCTCACACCTGTAATCCTAGCTGCTTGGGAGGCTAAGATTGAGAGGATCATGGTTTAAGGCTAACCTGGGAAAATAATTCTCAAAACCTCATATCCAAAATAACCGGGGAAAAATGGACCACCTTTTTTTTTGCAAGTGTGAAGCCCTGAATTCAATACCCAGTCCCACAAAAACAAAAAACAAACAAACAAAAAAAAAACCTTAAGAATGAAAAGTGGGAACACACACACACACACTCTACACTTTTTTTGATGCTGGGGATTGATCCCAGGGTCACTCTTATGGTAAGCACTTACTCTACCACTGAGCTACACTTTGCCCTCCAATTCTAGAAAAACTTTTAAATTAAGTAGCTAAGATTACAATGTGAATTTTAGATTTCTGGTACTGTTTCAAAGTATAATTCTTCAAAAAAAAAAGAAGCAGATCTAGTAAGCCACCATTTCCCTTTGAAATCTTCCCACGTTCTGTGTTCTTAAAAGAAGCTTTTGATAATTGCAATTATGAGCAAGACAAAGGACTTGACATACTACAGGACCCCGGTATAAACTTGGAAAGGAATAGTTAAAATAAAAACAAATCATAATCGTCTAGAGTATGAAATAACTATGAAGGAAATTAGACTTTTATTTTAGTATGTTCATTAGACTCAGAATCAGAGTTCTTTCTGATTTTATGTTCAGTATATCTGCTGCATTTTTTGTATCAACTGTTAAATAGTTATTTGGGGAAGGGACTGTATAATGTCAATACCATACTAATAAATGAAAACATGTGCATACTACTTATAAAATAAGCGTATTTCCAGAATTTAGAAATATGGATAGCAAAGAGTATAGACTGGTTGAACCCAGGAAGACAGAACTAATTTTTCTCAGTGGTTAGTGACTGCAGTATAGCCTAGAAGCTCAGTGCTCAACCTTTCGAGCCACACTGCCCATGTTCAGATCTTAGCTCTACCTAACTTTGTGACCTTGGACACGCTACTTATACTCTCTATGCTTCCCTTTCCTCATCCCTAAATCAGAAAAACATGATAGTGTTTCAAGGGTAGATGTGAGGACTAAGTAAGTTAATAAAGCATTAATGTGTGTAAAGTATAAGAACCTTCCTGCCACCTTCCTGTTACATAGCCGACGTATGTTTGCTGTTATTATTGCTGCTAGCATTATTGTTATCCTCCCTAGTATTATTTTTTCACAGTGTTAGATCAATTCTTAAACTTAGCGTTTTATCTCTTCAAAATAAAAAGTTTTCTGTGTTACCAAGCATAAATTCATAAGCATAATTCTCGCATGCTAAGTTTAGGTACACAGAATAATAAAATAATATTGAGCTAGCCTAACGAATTTTTGACAGCTACAGTGCTATAAGTCATTAAAATACTTAAACATACAAAGAAAATTATGTAATACATTCTGAGTACCTTTAATGATGATAGCAGTAGTTATATTACCTATATAGAAATCAAAGTACTATTGTATTTTAGCTTAAACCAAGAGATCTGACATGACTAACCAAGGTGGCAGGTAATTTGCAGCTAGAAGCTATGTAAGCCACTTTTCACATTAAGATGTGGTTCAGAAAAGAGCAAACCAACCAAGCAACACCTACAGACTAGAGTCTTGGGGATGTCAGCCTAAATTCTATTTATAAAACTAAATTGTCATTATCAGTAGACAGGTCACTTGATCTTTCTGCTCTAATACCTGTCAGAATATTGAGAATAAGATGACTTGCCACTTGGTATATGGACTATTACAGCATTGGCCAGTAGAACTCTGTGATATGAAAATGCTCCAAGTCCACACTGTCCAGTGTAGCCAGTAGCCACACAGAACTACTCAGTACTTAAAATATGGCTTGACAGGGAACTGAATCTTTTATTTTCTTTTAATTCAGTTAAATTTAAATAACCTCATATAGCTACTGCCTAAAAAAACAGACAACACAAGGAGTGAAAAATGAAGAAATGAGAACTCACTTTTACCTTAAGACCTAAATAAAACCCTTGAGTAGGCCACTGGATAATAAAATATACATTGAAATCCTTTGATGCGGTGAATGTTTCACATAGAACAGTGTATAGGGGACAGCGGTGTATTTAGCATAGATGTGTTTGCTTTGTTTCTGATAGTACAATACTGTGTTATTCAACAAAACCCTGTTCTTTCTACAGTGCAGTCTCTTATCAGTCACACAAACATTTAAAGTCTGGAATACAGCGAGAAGTCCGAAGGTTTGGTGAATTAGCTTAGATTTCATGTCTCAGCAGTAGGTTTTGTTTCCCATTCCATTTCTTGCCCAAGAACACAGACTTTAACACCAGGGGTTGTGTGGGTTTTTTGGTTCTGCTGGAACCAGTCCATTCTTCTGTGGTGGCTCTCTGTCTAAAGTACAATGAGCAACTGGGTTTTGAATTATAATTGTAGTTGAAACAGAACAAGGAACATTTTTCTCCTTAAATAACACACAAAGACCTGGAACTATTGGTTTCCACGTTCTACTGAAAAATGCTGTTGTAAATTTACTTTCTTAAACCTACTTTTCAGGCTGTGTATCTTTCCCTTTATCCATTCCTATTTCCTTGCTAATCTTTGCTAGAGCAGTTCTCTCGTACATAGTCAAGTTTGTTGTATAAGAAATAATTGTTCTCTTTATTATTTATTATTTTCTGGTTAAAGATTGGAAACTTGGCGAAATAAGTTTAGGAAATGTCTTTCTTGTAGATCATGTCTACAGGTCTGGTTTATGTACCCTGCTGGCAAACTTAAGACTAAAAATATTTTCTTGTTTCCAGGTTAAAATTCATTTTGTTGCTGCTGTTGTTTTAAAAAAATTATAAAGGTAGGATAACGCTGAATTAATTAGAAAACTCAGGAAAGCAAGCATCTACCAAATACCCAGAGGTCATGATGTTTTAAAGAAAGGTGGTATGCAGAGAAGAAATATTCTCTACCTCAACTACCCTTGACTTTCTTGGAGATTGAATTTGTGAGTTTTGATGAAGCTTATTTGTAACAATCAAAAGTGTTTAGAGGATTAGGACCCCTCTCCACCAAAAAATAAAGCTAAATTGGGCTGAGTCTTATGAGAGATCCGTGACTAGCCCAAGATCCTAGGAGGTGGAAGTTGTTGGCTCTGCCTGAGACTCTCCCACTCCCATTGGAAGTAATGGATCTAGTTAATGAGACTTTCTTTCATGCCCTGATGGCATGAAATGAGTGAGATGAGCAGAGTGGTGATGAACTGCTAA